CTTCTTGTTATAGAACCTCGTGATACCAACACATACATAAATCCGTTCCAATCACGAACACTTCTTGTTATAGAACCTCGTGATACCAACACATATCGCCGTCAAAAAGCGATCCGTATCAACATAATCAATCATAACAATGTTCGGCCTGTACCCCTTTTCTGCCCAGGAGACCGGACCCGTATAAGGGACATTCGAACCAATCTGAGCCAAATGGCCATTAAACACGGCGGCAAGATCCTTGATCGAGCTTCCCAAACCTATAACATCAATGATACTCTGGGTAATCGTCCACGAGAGCAAGAACAGCTGCAACCCGCCACGGTCAGGTGACTGCGACTGCTGCACGAGTTTATTGTATTGATCCTTGCGCATGTCGTCGAGATCCGTGGTGTCCGAATAACTGTTATATATAGGCACTTGATCCGAATCATAGAATCCCCGGCCCTGGAAATGGTGGTCGTGCAGCCAAGTTTTGTTGCGTTCGTCCGTGACAAGCACCACAGCGGGTCCGTCTTTGATAAACTCGGACAAAGGGATGGTGGTTAGGACGTCGATAGGATGACGCGTGTATAAATGATTGGTATGATTCCATATTTGTAACAACAGGTTATTGTACTGTGCATCATCGAAGGCCTGGTACTTTGAATCCGTGTCGGTGGTATGACTGAGCTCGAGGATGATGAGTTCGTTGTTCCCACCATTTTCGCCCGTGAATTGGTTCAGGTCGTCGATCACCGCTTGCATCGATTGGCCGTTGGCGCCTAGGTGGCCACTGTAGTGGCCCGTGTAGTATGCGCCGTGCGAAATCGTGGGGCGGATGTCGAAGTACCGTATCCCGGCTTTCAGTTGGTCGTAGATGTCTAGACTTTGCGTCTGCGTGTTGTCTGAGATGCCGCCGGCCGCGTACTTGATTGTCGACATGCCTGCGTCGTGCGAGCCTGGTAGGATAATGTCTTGAAGGGTCAGGCAGCCGATATAATCTAGATTCTGCGACATCCAGTTGGCTGGTGGGTTGTTGCCGACCAGCGAGTTCTGGTCTCCGGTCAAGATGAATGGTGACCATGCCTCGTACCGCAGTGGGATGTCAATGGTCGAGCCTTTGGCGTTGTTCTGTGTCCCATATGCGTCCAGCGATGCTTGGATCGATTCTGAGTACCCGTCGTTGCTGTTGCCGGTCACGTGGATCTTCAGGTTCGATATAGGGTGTGTCTGGTCGATCCAGGAGAATGGCCATTGGGCTTGTGCTGATGTCGGCTGTGTCCCGGGCGACTCGTCGATCATGATCTTTGCATCGTAGCTTTGGCCTGTCGGTGTAGTAGCATATCAGTAGTAGGACGGATGAGTTATGAGGGCTTGCACTAACCTGACGCAAGGGTTGCTGGAAAATCCCATTCAGGAACCCCATATGTCGCTGGAGGCCCGGGGCCAATGCGGGTCCAGGTGTACGGCGTGTAGTTTATGAGTGACAGGTTGGTATTTGTTGCCATGTTTGCTGGTGCTTGCAAGGGCTTGACAACGCTTGATAGTACTGTGCTAGAAAACAAGGTTTGTCCTTGAAGACGACTGTGGAACTGTACGCGCTTTTAACTTGTCCACGTCCTTCCTCAGCCTGAAATTTCATCAAGCCGCTATATTTGCGGAGAGGAGGGCTTGTCAGGCGAGCGAGTGGCGTGGATGGATATCATCATTTCCGAGTCGCTGGATACCACGCGCCGCAGCGCATCGAGTCGTGCTCACACCGGTTAGTGTTGAGGCTCTGCGAGTCCCCAAATGGAAGGTCTGCATATTGGTCTCTTCCAGTGGTTGTCGGTGCAGGTGTATGGTGAACAGACTTTTCCGTGCTGAAATGCATAACCAACAGGCGGGAGAGCGGCTGACGAACCAGGTTGGAGTGCTGATGGGAAATCAGCCATCCTTCTCGCTAATGAATAACCGACTCAGGCATGAACACTGGTCTGGCCGTGTCTGGTTGTGATCGGGCATATGATTGGTGGAGATGTGAAACCACTGCCAACATTCGACTGCCTAGACAAACCTGAAAACTCCTTCAGCCTGACCGCTGCCAACACTTTGGTCTCATAGCCGAGCTGGAAACGGAAACCATCGTCGTTGATGCACAAGAAGGTATGGTTGAATATTCATCTAGTATTTGGGGGCCAAGTGAGCCACAGCATATCTTGCCATTGAAATATCCGAAGGGCAGGGACTGATCCAACGGCCCGGTCGATCGCGTTGCAAGGGTGGCTGCAGTACCTGGTCAGCAGTGCATATGCATGTCTGCTTGCTGCGGGGCCAGGAAGCTGAGCATGGAGGTGGCGGGTGATGCGTTTCTGGGGTTCGAACCATAAGTCTGCCTCGATGTGTAAGGTTGAAATCTGCACGTGGTCGTCTTCCCAGACGACTCCTCATCTTGTCCCATAAATTTGGGAGACATGCCGCGCTGGAACTGCTGGCCAATCGTGAGCATACTGCTGTTGAGCTGGCCAACCATTACCAAGTCGAACGATGTAACGTCCGGTTTACATTGCTCTCAGGGTTAGGCGCTTCATTGTTGACCGGTTCACCTCCATCACTGATCTCATTCGACTCTGGTGCCTCAGGCTGACTGCTTCGCAGAGCCTCATCCATTGCTGACATGCTTCTCGGCTCTCGTGCTGGAAGCGACTTTGCTCTGACCATGGGAACCTTGGGTATGTGTTCAACCATCTGTGGTTCCACTTTTGGATGCACGGAGCCCGATAGAGAATCTTCGGACACGATGGTGTTAAGTGTGAAGTCGAAAGTCGCTCGAGCGATGTGCTTCGGTAAGGGGTCTCTGCCGTCTTTGTCATCCCGTGTCAATAGCGCCTCAACCTTGGGATTGGTTGTCGTTCTCATGACAGTCGTGAAGTTGTTGGTAAACGATTTTCCGGAGGTGAACAGCACTATACTGCCAATGACGATGATCGCCAGACATACACCCGCAGCGCTAGCATATGCAATAATGAGATTTTTCGGTGAGTATCGGTACACAATGTATGGCGAGAATACCGTGACATTAGTTGAAGTGTGCTTTTGCTCGGTGTTGCTAAAATTCGTCCTGTACCGCTCGAAAGCCATCAGACTCAAAGTGATATTCTGGAACAACTCTTCCGCAGATCGAGCGAATGGCTTTCCACTTGCTGCTACATCAGGCTCGGCCACTGCCGTGTAGTCGGTCAATTCGTCAGACTCGGTGAGGATGGGGTAAAGCTCATCTGTCAGCCCGAGCGAAGTCGCCATGATCTGTGTCGTGTCAGTTGACCAGGTATTGGTGTCGGCTGACTGAGGATGTCTGATGCTTCCTTGTAGGATGCCAAAAAAGGATGCCAATATTGACTGATATGCCATTATTTTACGCATAGTATCATCGGCAGCAGTCTGGTACCCGGCGATCGTGGTAATGGCCCCGTGAGAAGCTACCTCACGCACCTGTTGGGTCTGGATGCCATCCGAGTTCGAGATGTCCACGACATACGATGCGTTCATCATGGTGCATTCAAGCAGGGCGAGCGAATGTGGCTGGCCGAATGCGAAGTATAATGTCGCGGGTTGATCAGCAGGCCCGATAAGAGAGCCACCGCTTTCTGCAAAGCCGTCCTCAAGCAACGTTTCTAACCAAGGCAAATTATCAGTGGCATTGGGTCGCCAGGAAAGATAGAGAATTTGCTGGTAGAGAAGCTTGCCCTGTTCCAAGCCTTTGATGAGGGTTTGGAAGCTTTGGTTGAAGTCAGCAGGCGGAGGCTGGCACTGAAGAGAGGGACCGTAGAAATTGACCGTGTATGATGAATTGACAGCAGGAACCGGTCCGGGTAGGACCTGGCCTCCTGTAGCAGTTGCAAGTGTGAGCCTGTTCAGTGTGTATTGTGAACCCCTCCAGTTGTAGTAGGCACTTGTCATCGAAGCGCCCAAGATTGCATAAGAACTACGGTTGAAGTCAGGGACAGGCACGTTTGCTGTTATATATGTCTCCCGAGAGTGCTCCGACCAATGTGTTGTCAACGCCGTAGGTGCCACCACAGCTGTTAAAGGAAGCAGCCTGTTCCGGTTAGAATGCTGCGGGAAGCATAGACAGAATGGTGTTTTCTTACCATGCCAGCAGAGCCACGATGGCTAACAGTGGATGGTGAACCCAGATCCTCCAGCGAAGCAGATCCATCAAGCTCGTCAAGACCGTGAAGAGCGAGTCAATCTCGGTGAACGTGACCCGTTTATGCCTCAGCTGCAGCCAAAACAGCTGAGCGTAGGCAGTGCCCATGGCTAGAACCAAGAATGACCGGACCAGGAAAGCCATTCCCGTACCTATACCTGTGGTGATAGATTGTGAATACTTTGTTTCGGAGCCGTCAGTAGCTCTGCCGTTGAGATGCTGGTAGTAAAAGTGCTGTCCAAGAGCAAGCCCGATGCCTGCTGTCGCTGGCAACATCATCAAAACGGGCGCCTTCCAGTGAATCGCTCTGTGTTTTTTCGTCTCCGCCATTGTTGTATGCTCAGAGCCTGCACCAAGTGTCTGGCTTTCTACGGAAATATGCAAATCGCATGATGAGGTTTAAGTTTCAGTTGGAGGTTGAACGAAGGCCAAAACGGCACTCGCCAGGCTGGACAGCAACATGACCTACCTGCTAGAGTTCGAGTTTGTGAGGCTGATGGCGTAGTGTGCTGTGTGCCAGCATGTTGCACGGGCGAATTCACCCCGCCGTGTGGACGGTGCTATCGCGCCCTCAGCCTCACACGATCGTCGAAGCGAGAGGCAGCCTAGTCACCAAGTCGTGAGGAGTTCCGCCTGATAGGCGCAAGCCCGCCTTGCATCTTTTGGTAACGTGCTGCTCATGTCAGCCGCATCCCTCGCGAGCTTTGATGCCCAAGGCGGCCTTCAGCATTGCTCTGCACTCTGTCGACCACGGATACACACGAGATGGGAGGCCAATGGAACATTTGAGAATCTAGTTAGCAAAACATTTGTATCCAACTTGAACTCGAATGACTGGACGTGGCCCGAGGGCGTTGACTGTTGCCAGTGTCTGTTCAAGTTGTCGGTTGTCAAATCACAGTCTTGGCACTCAAATCGTGGGCCGAACCGCTGCCGACACTTTAATTCCATTACTTTTTTTCTAAAATTCAAAAGTACTGTGAGAGGCACAGCACAGACACTCAGGCGGCTTCCGCCTGGCAGACCTCAGAAGAGCTTTATTACAGCCTCCGGAATTGGGAGTCTTAGGCTACTGAGCATCCGATTGTACCCATTGGACTGACGGTCACACCCTGCCGAGGTATCGATCTGAACCGAAGCGGAGCTCTCCTGGCTTTAACCCACCAGATGAGAAGAACCGCAGCATAGCGATGTCGAAATCTGCTCGGGAAGGGTCTGAGGGTTGGTCTGATAGACCCACAATACAGATTCAATATTCCCCATCGACAACGGTACATCGTCGAAAAGTACTTGACGACGGCAGCAGACCCGCCTACTAATACGGTCCTCACTAGAGTTTTGTCCTTCTCCAGCGTATCTTACACGTACTGGATGTGCTTCACGGACATTTGTCCTTCCGGAGAGCTCGACCAAAGTTTCCTTAGAGGCCAACGAAGGCAGATTTGCACTGGGCTGAATTTAGTATGCCCTCCATCAGCTCTTTCTCTTCGGGATGCAACATCGGATGCCCAAGAACACCGGGAATGGCGTTGAGCTTTTGGATCGTGCTTCACGGCCAGAGAAAAAGCGGTTGTATCCCCGCCTGAAGTTTTTACCCATTGTTATATCTGCTCGACAAGCACTTCGCTTACATTTTGGGGCTAGAGAGACTACAGACCCAAAGAACGTGCACTGACAGACGGCGAATGGACACGCCTTGCCTCAAAGAGATTTTTATCGCTTCTGCGGCTGAGGCCAGATCAGGCTCATCAGCTCAGGGGGTCGACGCCATGTGTTTACCATATCTACAAACTATTTGCGGCAGCGATGCCATATCCAGCATGGTGCCAACGTTTGACGTGCTCTAGCTTATTCCGATTCCGGGGCTGTGGACTCTCAATTTCCTCAGACAATGACACTATGAATTTTATATCTGAGCCTTTCCCTTTACATGGGAGTCCAGGCCTGATTGCGCCAGCCACAAATGCGGTGCTTTATAACGAAAGTTCTCTTGGAATTGACCTTCACGGCGACGCCGGCGTGGTGTTTTTGGCGTGAAGATGTTTGTCGGCAGCACCAAACTTATATTGTGAGTACCTCGTCTCATGGGAACAGGTAGGTTTCGACACTTGATCCCTGCTTTGGCCCTGCGGCTGCTATCCGTACGCTCGAGCCCCTTGGTTGTCTGCATTTGATCTGGCACGTGGTGCTCTCCACTGTACAAGAGTCTCTTGCAAGATGTTCATTGTGACAGCCTTATGCGCTGCCCTTGCGGTCGGTCGAGTTTCAGCCTTTACAGAAGAGGATGTGACCGTGACAGTCACGACCACTCGCACTCATGTAGTGTGTCCAAGGAGCACACTGCCACCACATTGTGACATAGGACATCCAGGACATCTTTCCAATCGTCCTGCTCCGACCAACAGTGATCTTGGACATCCGGGACACCCCTCCTATCGCCCTGCTCCGACCAATGATGCCCTTTCCCAGAGCGATTTTGGCAGCTGGGAAGACTGGGCCACCTCTTCTGTGTTGTCAGCCCCTAGTGCCGGTCCCACCGAAAGCCTTTCACCGGGCAAAGACTGGTTGGATTGGGATTTGAGCAGCTCAGGAGTAAATCCTGGTCTGACTTCATCCTCGCGCTGGGTGCCTGGACATCATACCACTGCCCAACAGAGTAGCCCAACATCAAAAGACAGAACAATAGGACCAATTCACCAGAGCAGCAGCAGTTCTTCTGATCCCGCTTCCTCGGTTTCGACCTCCACATCCATCACTAGCCGGCTGCCAGCAGATCATACAACCACCCGGCGGCGAAGCTCACGGTCAACCAGCAGTACAACAGCCCGCAGTTCATGGGGCAGCAGCCTTTCTGCCGTTTCCAGCTCTTCGTTTTCGACCCAGACCTCGATCGCGACCTCGAGTTTGCCGTTTGAAGATCATACAACCTCCTCACAGAGTGGCGCAGCATTGACCACCCAAATCACCTCGCTCTGGTCCAGCACCACCATTCTTGTCACGCCAACTTCTTTGAGTTCGACCTCCAGTGCCACCTCAGCTTCAACGTCCATTTCGTCTTCCACGTCCACTACTGGCTTGACGCACACTTCTGCCTCGACGTCTACTTCGGCCGCTACCCCCAGTTCCGCCTCGACGTCCACTGTATCTCAGTCATCTAGTTCAACGGCTCTGACGACCCCAACCCAGACAACTACAGTGATATCAACTACATCCAGCTCTAGTATCACCTCGCAAACGTCATCAGCACCCTCGAGTTTCACTACTTCGACTCGAACGTCCTCTTCGATATCTACAACGGCGACGACGTCAACTTCTACCCTCCCTGAACTTACACCAGACCCAGCGCCAACTGCGGTAACTGGTGATGGCAGTTTCTACATCGCTTTGACAAGTAACGATCCTACCAGAAGACATAAACGAGCCACTACCTTTATGGGATTTTCAGGCACAAACGCCATCGTGGTGACCGACGAGTCCCTGGCATGGCCACTAAAGCTGAGTTCCGGCAGCCATATTCTCGGCTTCAGCGGAAAGTCTGGATATGTTGGCACTGACAGCCAGAATGTGGCCGGGCCGGTTCGACGAGTCAGTGATGATCAGACATACGCTCCTAAATATTTCATGGGTTGGAACATCGATTCCCAAACCGGTGCCGTCACTTTCGGTAATGCACAATTCTGCACCCTGACCAACGGCCAGATCTATACCTACTGGGACGGAGTTCTCCCTGATGGATGCGATGCTGTTACAGTGACTCAATATTCACTTCCGCCACCTGTCGCCGATGAGAGCAACACCGTGGATGGAGTCTTCCAAATCGAGGTCGAAGGTCTAAGCTCCACGTACTATGTTGCCTTCTGTGGCAGCTACCAGGATGAGCCTCGAATCTGTAATTACGGGGCAGTGTTCACCATGAGTATTGGTCAGGTCACCACAAGGAACGGCACAGGAGGTTGGCTTGTAGCGCCGACAGACTCGGTGTACGTTACCACGCCTCAAGCGTTGACCGTTGTCTCCAGTCTCTCGACAGACCCAGTTTATAACCGCTGGATTGTGGATTCCGATGGCTACCTCCAAATGCCTGCGGTAGGTTCCAGCCCTGCGGCAAGCTTCAGTGGCAGTGCCGGTGGTATAGTTTACTACCAATTCAACGGAGCAGCCAGCTCTATCAAATTGAGGGTGAGGAAGTTGTCGTCTGCTACCTCTACTACTTCTACATCTTCCCTCGTGGTGACAACCCCGGATGCGACGACAACCTCGACAACCTTGACAACAACCACGACAACCAGCATTGTAACCACTACAACTCACCTCACCAAGCCGGACTTCACACTCACAGTCACTGACGTTCAATCAGCAACCTCGCCAGGGCTGCCCGCCCCAACGGACACCACTCGTTATCCAGGTTGCAAGACGGGTGCAAACCCGGCGTATTGTGGAACCGAAGTGACAGGCACCGGTCTATACGAAGCAGAGTACACTGTCTACTGCCATGAATTCTGGTCGGGCGGCCTCTCGACCGATCCAGTCAACGACGCAAGCTATCTCCCGTCCCAGGGCTGGAATGCTGACAGCTTTGATGATTGTCTGCAGATGTGCGACAATGCTGCCGACTGCGTGGCCATTACTTTCTCGTCCAATACTCAGTGCACATCAGCCAACTGCAGACTCCTAACCGACGTACGGGTTAGATATACCGACGGGGCGCTCAACGACTACAGCAGCTGGGATAGTGCTGCTCTCGGAGATGCAGTCCAAGGTACAGAGCCTCAATCGACTTCGACCAGCACAACAACGACCGCCGAATCCACCCTCACAAGCTCCACGACTACAACCTTGGGATCTACGACTGCAACGCCCACAACCACAACTTCTTCTGTTTTGGGGTCTACTAGTAGTGGATCAAGTTCAACTTTGTCCTATGGAAATTCGTCTTCTACCAGCACTACGAACAGTCAGGTCACATCCACTTCAGCCTATTTGTCGACGACGACTACCAGCTTGCCGACAACTACTTCAGTAACCCCGAGCACCACGCTTGCAACCACTACATCTACCAGCACCACCACCACCACGACACCAGCAACACCTTGCAACGCCGGCGGTGCTCACCCGACCTTCTCACTCGTAAGCTCCGGCAGCTCCGCCTTTCCCGACGGCAGTGTCGCGGTCGTTGTGCCCAGCGGGACGCCATCGTACCCATTCGACTATGTCGGGTTTGACTCCCCGTCATCATCCGGCACACTGTTCACGTTCGATGACCAAGGCCGACTCATTGACCTGACCGACGGCAACATCGCCGCGGTTCCCAGCGGTGGCTCAGGCGCCGCAAGTTTTCTTTTCGCCCCTCAGTCTACTATGAACAATCTGGGCTTTCAGAGTCCTTCCTGCGGGTTATATTGCCCGGAATCTGGAGTCGGTCGACCTATTCTAGCGTGCAGTGTCTACGGGTATACTCTGTTAGCAACACAAGTGGGCTTCCCGTACCTGGCCATTGCCAACTATCGCCCTGCTGATGCGGTGCCGATTACATTGGAGGCAGTCATCGTGGGGCAATCTAAGAGCGGCACGACGAGTACTCCTAGTCAATCCTCTACCACCTCTGGCATTGCCACATCGACAACTACGGCAGATACGTCAACTACTTCCGCAGAGACATCCACTACTCCGGCCGAGACGTCAACAACGACAGCAGAGACATCAACCACTTCGGCATCCACAACCACAACCACGACGACCGAACTAGGGCCCCAACCGCCACCAGCCGCGGCCACTACCAGCTCCACTATCGGTGACGATCAGACTTCTTTCGATTCGCCTACGACAAGCACGACACCGACCACCACCACCAGTACCAGCTCAGACACTACGACTACGACTACAACTACAACCACTACCACCTCAGAGACCACGACCACGACCACAACTACAACCAGTACAACCACGACTACAACACCTCCAGTAATCACCACCGCCGTCCCCACCGGGCTAGCACCACCTTGAGGACTTGATACCACACCAACGCAATGAGAGATGTCGAGACAGACATGCAGATTGGTCTGCTCATAGAGGTCACGGTCCTGCCACTTACTCAACGAGCAGCTATTAATCAGTTAGTGCTTGGTCCAGTCGAGCTCGAGCATGCTGCACTGATATAGAATGACTTTCTAATTTCAATACAATACATTACATCAATCTCAGTGATGATTCCACCACTGAAACGACGAAAAACAATTGAGTTCTCTCTTCCATTCACGTTTAGATCTGCCTCGCATTATATAATCCCTCCCTCCATTCATTTCTTGGGTTTGTCTTTTGGCCTCTATCGAACTTGTCCAAGCTACCGAATACATACCTAATATGACATGATCTACCAGGTAAACAGTTGCTTCTGCTCGTTACACATAGCCCATACATAGGTATACTACTATACTAACCTAAGCTATCTTACTTAATACTTATTCTCGGTGAGAAGGGACGAGATATCATACGCATGATTACCGGGTAGTAGGCAAACAAAGAACCACCAAACACATATAACCTGAGTCAGCAGCATTCCCCAGTCACAATCATAATCGTAACTACTAGTAATATAACCAATTCCCATCTATCGACGACTCCAATCACTCAACCATCAATATTGAAACAAAACATTCCTTTCGCAAGGTTCTAGTACCCAACTACATGCAGCATCTACAGCAACCAACAAGCCACTGCACCAACCACCAAAGCTACCCCCAAGTTCCTTAAATCCACTCCTCTCGCAGGTACACCACCGGAAGTCCCCGCCGTACCACAGCAGGAATCCTTGTTATATGTGACATTATTAGCATCCGCCGCGACCTGAAACACACTCCCGTTGAAATTTCCAATATTATAATAATCGACCAACAAGTAATTCGGCGGCCGGTCCCACATTTCCGTACAATTCGTGACCGCTCGTCCGGCCGAACCATACCCCGTGACAGCATTGGTCTCGTTGAGAAGCGTGAAAAACGGCACGAGTAAGCTGATTCCTGCCAGGGAGACTTGAAGATTTAGGTTGTGGTTGGCCATGTACATTCTGTCGAGCCTTTGGTCGCGCGATCGATCAGGCGGACGTTGGGCGGTGCATGGGAAGTCCCGATCGGTCGGTGAAAAGGGCGTCTCCCACATGTTTGAGAATTCGTCCAACAGCCAGGGAATCGCGGTTTGGTTGGCGTTGTAGTCGAGCATGACGACGGCGCGTTTGTTGGTCAGAATCAATTCGGCCAGTGTGGGCCACGAGTCTAGTGACATGGGAACTGTGGGTGGCGTGTAGACGAAATCGATGAGGCCGGACTGAGTTACGGGAGATGTGAAGTTGAAAGGGTCCACGACGTCGTAGTTGCCCATTAGAATGGTGATCACGTCGTGCGGGTGCGCGCGGAGCCATTTGGTTACTGTTGTTAGATAGGATTCCAATGTGCCGGCGTTGAGGAGGTCGCATGATGTGTGGCAGAGGTACATGGTTCCGTTGACTAGGTGGGCTTGGAATTGTACTGTAGCAAAGAAGGTAGTTAGCATCTCGTGTGTTTGATTCAAGATTGGGGGAAGAGAAGGTATGCTGGGCGATGAAGGGAAATATGTTCTTACACATTCGAACCCCGTCGTTCAATTGGGTCTCAACATCCAGCATCTGGTTGGCGGCTAGATTCCCCCCGCGGATAAAAGGACTGTTGTGGGCGGCGACGTAGGTGATGTTGCTGAATTTCCGCTGACAGAATTCGGGATACCCGTTGCAAGGCACCGTGTTGGTGGGACGCGCTGATGTCGTAGTGCTGGATGTCGTGGCATTCGTCGTGCTCGTCCCATTAAGAGCAGTCGTCGTCTTTGCAGTGCCTACCAGCAATGTCTGCGTGGGTGAGGACGAGGAGGTACTGTTGTCCGACGTTGACGTTGAGGCCGACTCTGCTGCTGTGTTGTTGCCCGTCGCCATGGCGGAGGAAACGTCGGTCATGGTCGCGTAGTCGATGGTGGTCGGGAGGGTGATGGTGCTGCTGTCGTCGGCATAGCTGGTTCCTGTGGTGGCATAGTCTGCCGCAGTGGTGGTGGCTGATTCGGTGCCCGAGGAATCAGTCGATTGGGCAGCGGATGCAGTGAGGGCAAGGCTGGCAATAAGAAACAAACGAGTTATGTGCATGGCGGTGATGCTCTCGGTGACTAGGATTGAAGTTGCTCAATTGATTGGCGTCGACTCCAGGTGGTGGACCAAACCACATACAGCGAATATATAACAATCGCAAAACAAAACCACCAGAAGGCCCAAGCACACCGGGTGTCAACCATGTTACAAAGTACAAAATGAAAGTGATGGAGACGCAGAGACTGTGGTGAGAGTGAACAGCAAAAAGTCTGTATCAGCACGACGTCAATGACAGGAGAGACAGTAACGCCCTCTAGTCCTAATCTAGTCTAGCGGACTCAGCCTCGACCGCGGATTTGGGGAAAACCCAAGTGGGTCACAGTGGGCCCTGAATGACGCGTCGACGACGGCCAAAAACATGTGCAAAAGTGCTGTAATAACGGCGAAAGTACATAGTACAGCTCGAGTCTAGGCATCAACGAAAGAGCACCGTGCCAGCTTACATCTGGGCCTACATGTATCTTGGGGAAACATTGTACATCGTCCGTGTTGGGTTCGATGGCTTGGACAAATGGAGGGCACCATGTGAGGAGCACAATCTCGTTTGGGAGACAAGGCTGCGATCTGACCGGCCGGGGTCTACAACTAGCAACGAGGCGTTCAAGTTGGGCAATAATCCGCCAGAATCCGAATTTCATGGCCAACTAGCCTTGCTTCAGGGCCTGAGACATGAGAAACCGTTAGTATAATAAAAAGGGGCTTTTGTAGGGTCCATGGGGCACGATTCAACATCCCCGGCCAACACCCGGTGGTCAGTGTTGTTCATTCGACAGGCGCCGTTGATGTAATGGCCCCATCATCAGCCACAGTCAATGACACAAGAACAAAAACCTATTTTCATTCATTGACAGCATCAAACTGAAAACAACATACAATAATCATCCCTGAATATCGGCTCATCGTATATGATTCTGTGCCTGCGTGTCTTGAACCACGATCCTGCGGAAGCCTCGGCCACTTCCACTCTCTCCGTCGAAATCACCGGTCTGGACATACAATTGTATACCACAATTGATTATTCAGTCATGCCGCCCACGCAACACCATTAAATGCAACAACAACCATATCGAAAAGATCAAACAATACAAGGATAGCAGTGGCAGCACCAACACCAGCTATTTATCCCCTTTTCACTGCTTCAACATGGGGCTCTTTCCACGGTCTTCCCGTCCCAACACCGACCCCAAACACCAAAATGACGACCCGTTCACAACCACCGCTTCCTCACCACCTCTATCCTCATTCCATCGAAGGCCAACAGCTCTCCGCCTATTCACAGCCCTAATCTACCTAATCTCCCTCGTCTTCCTCATCCTCGTGGAAATCGGCAACATCAACAACAAGCCCGTCATCCGATCGACCTACTTCCTCAAAATCTCGCTCGCCAACATCATCCCCTCGTCCGTCCCCAACGCGCTCTTCATCAACTCGATCGCCCAGTCCATCGGATTGCACGATTTCTACCAAGTCGGACTCTGGAATTTCTGCGAAGGCTACAACGGCGAAGGAATCACGCACTGCTCACGCACAAAAACACTCTACTGGTTCAATCCCGTGGAAATCATCCTGTCCGAGTTACTCGCGGGTGCATCAATCACGCTACCCACCGAGGTCGTCAACATCCTAGATCTAGTACGCAAGGCGAGTTTCTGGATGTTCTCATGTTTCCTAGTCGGCACGGTCTTGACGTTTCTATGTATTTTCCTCGCGCCGCTGGGGTTCTCGAAACATCCGCGCTGGGAACATCGTGCACGACGTGTGTTTTTTCGACAATTGCCTATTACGATTGTGGCGTTTGCCGCCCTGTTGTTCACGGCTGCGGCATCGTTGATCGCTACCATCATGTTTGTTATCTTTCGGAATAAATTCTCGGGGGCGGCGGATTTGAATATTCGTGCGTATTTGGGTGTGCCGATGTTGGTGTTTATGTGGATTGGGACGGGGCTGAATTTGTTGGGGTTTCTTATGCAGATCGGGACGTGTTGTGGTGTTTGTTGTTGTACGGGGCGGAGGAGGGCTGAGAGGAAGAGCAAGAAAATGTCGGAAAAGCAGGCCGCCGCCGCGGATGGTCGTTTGAGTCAGGGCGAGGATCAGGACCAGAACCACCGTGTGCTCGCTGAGTCGCGGAGAGATAATGATCACTCCCCTACTCCTGTGCGGCGAACTAGATCTCCTGGAAGATTTGGGCATTTGGAAAGAGAAATCATGTAACCTCTTGATCAAGTGGCGGTGGTGGATGCGCTTCATGGTTCGATGAAATGGGTTCAGATGCATAATTGAATAGACAGCATAGACCGCATGGATCGGACGGAAAGAACAGCATGTGTTTTTCTGTTGCAGCGTGTTGCCCTGCAATGGCTCATCATTATATTAGGGTCGATGAGTGACATACATCAAGGTACCCTACGCCTCCTCATACGCCTATGACCGTCTCTGGCCATTCAATCTTTGCCCCTTTCCCTCGAACCAGCTATTCAATACAACACCCTGCTGGTGAAACCCAGATCCAGGATGACCATACCTGTGCACACACATCAACACCCTTTTGTAGTGGCTGCCTTGTCAAAAAGACGCCCATTCTTGAGTCCATATCAATCCTCCAGCCCCACTGTAGCCACCATACCTCGGACTCACAAGACCTGTCCCTCTCATCTTCCCCCCCTGGCCGTCCATATCCGGCGTGCAATACCGCAACAAGAGCCGCCGTTCATCCAAAAACAGAGTGATGTCGACCCATTTGGGCTCGAGTTCGTGCGGAACGGCCCCGCACTGAACGACGGCATGTTCTTCAATACTCGACAACTTCTCGGCAACAGCGTAGACACCCAACGTGTCCCATACCCTCGACTGGATTTCACTCTTTTCCAAAAGCGCCGTCACCTGGTGCCGCACCTTGGTGGACCGACACTGCGTTCCGAGATACACTGGTGGGCCGATCCCGCTGTCCATACTGATCGAGTGTTCGTCATAAGCAAAAAGCGAGTCGCGGTTGAGGATACTCTCGCTGAGCACGAGGATCCGGGCAAAATGGGCATTCAGAGCTTCTCTGCGCTCAGCATACGTCCTGCACGATCGATGACAGTCGCACAACTCGGGAGGATCGCAAAGAGGGACAATCACCGCACCGGTCTCCGGCTCGTGGAGTGCCATCTGTGTCAAGAGCAACAGGTATGCTGCCTCTCGGTACGCTTTGAGCAGTTGAGAGGCGCGGCCGTCCGGCGACTTGCCGCGGTTCATCTCGTTTTTACTGTACTCTGCAAAAGCCATGGACCATTGGAGCAGACGCGAGATATGGACTTGGTGTCGACTGAAGCCGGACCCTGTCAGTGCACCCTGTTCCAACAGTGTCCATGTCTGCCAAATCCACTTGGTCTCGGTGAATAAAACGTCGCGTGCCTCGGAGAGTGATGTGAAATTAGATGGGATTGGATAGGGATTAGGATCCGGGACCAAAGGAGGAGACCAGTCTGGAGATGAAGGGGTTGAAGTCGAGACCGGTGTCAGGGCCTGGGCCTCCGGATCGCTGAGAATGGTGGCCGGTCCGGCGAATAACCGTACAGATTCGAGTTCTAGTTTCAAAAACAGTCTTCTCAGGCTTTCGTACGATACATTGACCGGCCGGTACTGCGTGTCTTTGTAGGTGGTGTGCATGTTTTTGCTCAGTAATCCTTTCAGTCCGGAGGCCAGATACATCTGTGCAACGTCATAATTCCCCTGGAACGTCTCGTAGATGCAAAAGAGCTTCAGAGTGAGCATGTTGAGTTCTGCGGCGTTGGGATGTCCTGAAGCTATGTCGTCCGACAGACTTTTGAGCGCTCGTCGGTACAGTTTGTCTGAAATGTCGCAGTATTCAAATGCCTCTCGAGAGATACCTAGTTGGTATCTTCGGTGAACGGCACCGACCGCCGCCGCTGCGAGTAGGACTGTGGGGTACTCGAAACATGCTCGGAGAATATATGATCGCCAGATAGAGCTGTCAAAGTAAGCGGCAAACTCGGGGCCGGTGCGGATTCGGAAGAAATCGAAGCAAAAGAAATCATTGTCGGATTGAAAGATGACGGTGGAAGGAGGGGGGATGAGCTCGAATGATGGGGATGCATTTCGTGGTTTAGAGAGTGTGAATGAGGTGGTTCCTTTATCGGGGTTTGTCTTTAGACGTTTCGTCGCTGGCTCAGAGGCGACAGGTGAGTCGTCTGAGTTTTGAGAAGGACTGAGATTTGGATAGCCGTCGCACTTCCGGCCTGTGCTTGTACATCGACGGCAGTAAGGCTTTTCTTCGTCGCACTTTTTCCTCCGTATTCTGCATCTTGTTAGCGGGATGTCGGGGGAGCGATTCAGCATCGGCCATACTTGCAAGTCAAGCATCCCGTCCTGACTTTATTGTGACTTTTGCGAGTTCGTTTTGCTTTCTCCTGTGTGCAGCAGTCCGCCATGACGGCTCAGCTCATTGACGCAGTTTTGAAATAGCCTCAGCAGTACACCAAGGTAGGCTGGAGAAACAAGCCCAAGCAGCGTTCACTCGCGGAACCCTAAACGGTTGCAGGATTGTCTTGGCAAGATATGAAATTTGTTGCCGCTGAATCCAGTCATCTCACCCTACTCTCCATTGTATTGACGATGTATACTAGGATATTGGTATGTCAACGACAATGGCATTGGGGACGAGTGTTTTCTGGGGACATGGTCGTTATATCAGCAGCTCAGCGGGGCGGGGGTCCTGCCTCGCCATTGTTGATTGGTCAGGGCGTATTTGGACGACGCCAGTGCGTGAGTGGCTTCCATTGCTGACATACAACATCCACCAGGCTTCACGCCTTAGAATGTACATGCTTCGAACCCTATCAGTGGCAACAGCGGCCTTGTCACAGCTTCATTGGCTGCTCGCGTCTCTGGTCCTGAACATGACTTGATGGCGTGACATCGGCCTTGGGTATGTGAAGCAGGATGTACAATGTAAGCAACGACCAGGGGGTTCATGGCCACGTTGATGTCTGCGCCATACAGTGGAAGGGCCCTCGCAGACAGAGTATGTCCAGTGCGGTACATACCTTAGGTAGGTAATGGAGATTAGGTGCCTAGGGAGGTACCCAGGCTGTCGTCTTTTATACACTGTACGTCTTTGCACCAGGTTCACGTTGAAGTTGTGTGTGAAAATACCTACGAATACCCCTGCTTACCTAAGGCGGGGTGTTTCCCCAACTTCCACCATCAACATCATCCCACTCCGCGAAGCCGACAATGTACATTGTTCTCATCAAGTTGCGCTCTGTCCAGCATACAAAGTCTACTCCCTATTACACCACCTGTCTCTGAGATTCAACGGGACAACAATCCATCAGTTCAAGCCTCACAACTTCGAATTGAATAGCCTGTTGCCTACCGAATCTAGCGACCTACCCTCCATTGAGTGGCCAAGTTGAACTGATTGCTACCTCCACGCCCTCGTCCATCGTTCGTATCGACACCAGGTTTGGCCGTTGTACCGGTCGCACTCGCTATCAAACTGCCCACCATCAGCCCTACACATCCACACCTCCAATCCCCTCTACATCCGGTAGCCTTCGGTTTCCTGAGATGGCGCCAACACCATCCAACAACATAGCCTACACCGCCCCCATCAACCCGCCCTCTGCCTCCCATGTCCTCACCTACCCTCAAATCTGGCAAGGCCTCCAATTAAAAATCCGCGCTGGCCAAGACTTCGTCGGCGGCGCCATCATCTCCACGGACGTGATCTCGACCTCTGAAACCGAGCACGGCCACCCCATCACCGTCCGCGAAGTCATCTTCCGCGACGGCAATCGACGCGTGCGGGAGAAATGCATCGCATACGAGCCCATGAAGGTCGAATTCCACCAGGACGACGGGAGCAAAGTGCAAAACGTCATCAGTCAGGGTGCCGGGGGTGACACGGATTTGTACATGACATATACGTTTGAGTGGTTACATCCGGAGTGCAAAACGGCTGAAGAATTGGAAGAGAAACGACAAAAGGAGTGGAAAATCGCAAAAATGGCCGTGGAAAAGACTATTGAGGTTATGAGGGAGATGGTTGCTGATGGGAGGATAAAATAGAATAAAATAGACGGGACTACGGTATTACTACTGCTGGCAGCGCAGCGCTGCCATTCACAGTTCAGACTGAGCTGACGAATAGAGGAACCCCGATTGGAAAGGAACAATAGATGAGGCTGCTTGCCCTGCCGCTCTTCAAGTTGCAGTCTACGCAAAATGATGTTATGGGACATAAAGAATTGATGATCTGACCTGATCCGACTCAGCACAAGCATAAACAACAAACCACTTCCATCGGACGATATCCGGCTAGAGGGGAATCCCAATGATTGACCCTGAATATTCAAAACCAAACTGGCTGGATATGGATTGTATCAGTATTCAGCCCTGTGGCCCGGGGGAGGTTTTCATTAACCACGATAAACTCGAAAGAGCCATTGCATGTATGTTCGAGAAATATTGCGCTTGACAGTGTTGGCAATGACGCGGACGTATTTAGATTGCTGTGCTGCCAGTGCGAGGATTCAAAATGATAGACCCTCCTATTAGTACCGTACGATACTAGATCGATGCGAACCACAATGATATTTCAACCTTCTGACCTTCGAGTTTGTGCTTCGTTCTCCCACGATTTCGACATTGACGACGACTGACTTCGTCTCCGTCGGAGTGTCATGTCCATGAACATATTTCTTGTGGCAAAGGATACTGGTCCATAATCGTAACTCGCCGATTCTGGCCATACGGTAACGGGTATTGCTGTCAAGCGACTTGCTGCTGGTCATGCTCGCTCATGTCGATCTTGACATCGAGATCTGTGCCCCTAGCTAGACATGTCCTCAAGGAAGTCAACCTTGGGTACTTCTCCGGTTGCAATTGTGGTCGTCGTTATTGTGTTTCAACTTTCGTCGATTGCGATTCCGTTTGCGCTTTCTGTTGGGATCAAGCCCTGTAGGTGACTGAAGATCGCGATTGACTTTGAGATGGCGTTTGTTTGGTTCAAACATCGGCCCCGACTTCGACATTGGTTCCAATGCCAACGTTGTCATTTTCACTTCCAGTTCTTGCTTGGCTTTGGCAATGGAAAGCCTTTGTAGCGTTTGGTAACGACACATATTTCGTGAAACGTCCGGCAAAATGCAAGTCAGTGGGCTGGGGTCCCGCAACGACTGCGGCCTTGATGGCTTCTGCGCATAAGATGCTGGTTCGACCATATCTGCTTGTTGGTTGGCTTCGCTGATGTACTTTTCCACCCGGCCGGTCTCAGTCTCCCTGCAAGACATGGCCAACTGCATGCCACTGAAATGGCCTGTAGTGTGTCTCAGTCCTATCCAGTGTTACGCCAGGGGACGTTTTCCTGCACAGTCTTGAGTTCGGCTATTGTGTCTGTAGAGGAGGAGCTTGTAGAGATGCACAGATGTTCTTCAAATAGGGGTTTGACTCCTAACCAGCGAATTCGCCTTGTTCCTTTGAGCTTTGTTTGTCGGTGACATTGGCAGTGCTGATATTAGGCTTTGATTGTAGAAATGCAAGTCGCTTGGAATCCATGTTTGCTAGGCAGTAACTGTTGGCAAACAGACCTTGACAACAGTCAGACAAAAAGAGACCACCTCCTCTGCATATACATGACGTTCATGTGAGGAAGGGAAATATGACACATAGACCCGAGGAGGTAGCTAACCTTGGGATGGCTCCAGTGAAAGATTTTGATAAAGGTACTCCTCGCTTGCTCTGAATGGTGTCGAATATCGCTTTTGCGCTTTTCAGATGGACGAACAATAAAATTTTGTAACAGATGGCGAAAAATTTCAATCCCAAGCATCACCCCAGTCATCATCATTCATGTCGGGTTGCTTGGGCTTTGGCACCTCTTTTATGACTGGCTTCTTCGCAGTCATAGGTGTAGTGGACCTCGCGGCAGTAACAGTAGACCGTTTGACATTTGAGGTACCAGGGCCAGCAGAAACACTCCTGGCTGGAACAGAAGGTCTCGCGTTCAACGTGCCAGCTGCACCAGTCGGCTTGTTGAGACCCTTGGGCAACGGTTTATGCGCCTTCGCTTTCGATTGTGCAGCGAGCCAGCCAGCAAAATCTGGCTCTCCGCCATCATCAAAGGCAGCCGCAGGAGCAGCTGTAGATGACTTCACTGCTTTATTTGAAGAAGACGCATCAAAGAAGTTGTCACCATCATCGTCCATGGTTCCCCAGGCATCCATTGCATCATCATCTGCAAATACGTCCTCCGACTCGGGTGGTTGTGAAGTCGAGCTTCTCGCTGTGTAAGTGGCAGACGGCCCAGGGGAACTGACTGCCGGCTTTGCGGACACAGTATTGACGACCGGTGTCTCTCGGCCAGACGTAGGAAGTGACTGCGTTTGTTGGATCGGGGCTCCATTGCTGGCGGACATTTCACCTCTCGCTCCAGCCATTTTGTTGGTGAATGAAGAGATGGCCCAACCGGCCCAACTTGTGTCGTTTTGGTTCCCTATCCTGGCTGGGGCCGCTGAAGTCGTAGCGGCTGTTGCACCCTCAGGTGGGAGCGCGGTATCAGGCATGGTTGATGCATATTTCCGCACTCTTTGCAGATACGTGTCCAAGGTCTTATTAGCTTGATCGCGAACTAGCTTCTCCTTGTCGATGAGACTGATACAAACCGCCGGAAGGATTCTAGTTGCACAATCTTCATCACTGAAGACATCGACAGTCGCGTTCAAAGCCATCAATGCTGCATTACGAGCATGCACGAATGGATCCCTGAGGGCTCGGGAGAAAGCTGCAATCAACACCTTCGACCGTGAGCCCACCCCGAGATTTCTGGCGATCTTCCCCAGACAAATTGTGGTATTCGTCCTGATTCCAGGCTGTTCGTCGTTGGCTGTTTTGGCAAGGAAACGAAGTAACTCTCCATTGACGATTCGGTCAGATAGTTTCGAGATCACCGAAAGGACACCCTTTACGGTCTGTTCCCGGACTATCGGAGCTGTGTCGGTAAACCCTGTGGTCATGGCCGGCCAGATTTTGTTGTTGATGTCTTTCTGTGGAATTCGGTCAACCATTAACGGTAGATTGTCAAGTAAGCACACCCTCATCGCTCGGTCCTGGCTGTTGAAGAGTCGAAGAATCACAGGGGCAAGCCGAGATTCAAACTCTTCGTCGGACAGCTTCAAACCAATCTTCATGATGGCCCCGAAGACGCTGGGGCCGCCACCACCGAACTCGACCGACTTGAGCAGTTCTGGAAGGATTTTCATCTTGAAAAAGTCTTCCGGGAAATCATCAGTAAGGGCATCTAGCTCCCTGTTTCGGTTAGCCTCGTCTAACAAAATATGCAGCAGCATCAGCAGCATCTTACCCTAGAAATTCGTCTCTTTCCTCCTCACTCTTGAGTCCCAAACTATCAGCACCCTCTGTAATGTGAATCAGGGGCGTCTCAAAGAACCCTCCTGCTTTCTTTCCCAGATCCACAAATTGACCGGCACTCGATCGCAATTTCGGGTTTGGGTTAACCAGTCTTCGATAAGCCTGAACCATGTTCGCCGGTACGCTTCTGGGTTGTGGCAGCTGATCGCTCCCTAGGAACGTCCCATTAAATGCCTCGAAAATCAGGATTCCCAAGCCGTATGCGTCGGGTGCACCAAGCGGATTCTTCTTGATAGCGGACCAGCCGCCATTGATAACTTCCGGAGGCGCGTACCGGTTGGAATCTGGTAGTAAACTTCCGTATGTGTAGATGATGGCGTCGTCATCATTCATCGAGCTGAGCACTTCAAACCCCCCGAGTTTCCATTCTCCACTTTCGCTGGTGAATATTGAAGATGCTCGGACTGCACCGTGGACCGAAGAAGCGTCGTTGTTGATAAACTTCAGTGTAGAAGAAACGCTGTACAGCCCCCATTTTATCGTTTCCTCGCTCAAACTTTTGCGCTTCAGGTGCCAGTTCAGGGGTGTGACTTTTTCCGTGATAATATAGATATGGGTTTCATTTTCGATTACATCGATCACCCGTATCACGCCGGGATGTCGTAAAGTTCGCAGCTTCCGCGCAGCATTCTTCGCTAAGGGTTGTCTTGACTTGTTGGTGTTGATCTCGAAGGTGAAGAGGGAACAGGGGGTATGATCGTCCTTGGGCAGGTCAGAAATAGACAGACACCTGAAGAGGAAGACATGTTACCTTCTTGACACCATTATGTAAAGACCAAATTGAATCTCCCAGATCAACCCGATCGCCGATAGTCACTGGAAACGAACTCGACTTTGCAATGGCAGATGCAACGGCTGATTTGAGGAAATCCATGAACGGCGCTGGCTTGTGATAGATAAAAACAGAAACAAGAAAACAAAAACGTTCCAATTGGTAACAAAGAACGGAGTCAATGCCAATGGATATAGTGGTGAAGGTGTCCTCTCATTCAGAAAATAACACAGCGCAATTCCGGGCCATGTTTGGCCAGAGTATCGAATATCGCACTGCAAGGCGCCGACTTTATCGCTCAATCGCGGCGATCGCGGACGTGTTCCCCCGCGTCGCTCCACCAACAATCCCACTTCGACACTTGAGTGATGTGGCTACCTGGCGGATAAAAGACATGTAAAACCCCCTCTGCCTGTGCACCGCGTCTACCTTCCGTATAGCCCATTCTCACACAATGTCTCTGCCAGAAAGACCCAAGCGGACATTCTCCTCCCGAACTGTGCCCAGAGACGTGGCTTATCGGCCACATGAGGGCAAGTTTGGCATCATCACGGGCGGTTCCAGAGGTATGCGACAACTGCCTGGACACTTGGTTCTATTTTCCTAACAGCTTGCCAGGCATTGGAGCGGCTATAGCCCGAAACCTCGCGTCCAAGGGATGCTCGTTGCTTCTAGTCTACACATCCGACTCTTCGACCGAACCGACCAATGCCTTCTGCTCGGAACTGGCGAGTGAATATGGCATTCTCTGTGTACCGGTGCAAGCCGACCTATCCGACCCTACACGGAGTGCGCCTCTCATCCTAGCCACGGCAAAGAATCACTTCTCGCATCCAAGGACAGGGGCGTTTCAAATAGACATCATCATCAACAATGCAGGGATCGCAGGCAACAAATTGCTTAATGATCCGGAGCTGGGACCGATCGAGGAGACACAATTCCACAAACAATACAACGTCAATGTGTTGGCGCCGTTGTTGCTCGTCCAAGCCTGTCAACCCTACCTACCAACTGACCGGTCGGGCCGGATCGTCAACGTGTCAAGTGTGTCGGCATCCATCGGTTGCGAATCTCAATCGATATATGCAGGGACCAAGGCGGCTGTCGAAGCCATGACACGAGTCTGGGCACGAGAACTCGCCGAGAACTGTACCGTCAACGCCGTGAACCCCGGACCGGTCTGGGGAGACATGTACAGCCAGGCAGGGGAGAAGTTTTGGAAAGTCAACCAGAAGTACGTCGACAGTGCTCCGCTGATGAATTACGCCGGGGACGACGAGGTCAGGGCTCGTTCAGGGATCGACCCGAAGGAGTACGACAATATCGTTATCAACGGAATGGGCGGAAAGAGACCAGCCTTCACAGACGAGATTGCAGGTGTCGTTGGCATGCTTTGCTCAGAGGAAAGCGGATGGACGACAGGAAGTGTGATCTGTGCCAACGGCGGTATGAAGATGTCGATAGCATAGACGGAGTATAAAGACGGCGATCTGGATGATGTAGAAACAACCAATCCAACATAGACTTTTGAACCTAATTCTAGTCGCAGAGAACTTGAATCACAATCCAAATACGGGTACCGTGTAGCTCAGTCTAAAATATAACGAGTGTGCAAACAGCCCTCGACGAGGCTCCCAAAATCCAATGGAACAACTTCAATCCGCCCAAATAATCTGCCGCAGTTTTACCGCCCGCATTTTCCAGCCTCGACTTCGAATCACCAGCACAAGCAGCTCTCCCCTACAATATTGTACAACGCAACACCCAGACACTGCGAGCACCATCAAACAAGCAATTCTCTCCGTCTCTGTGAACTGATCCGCCGACAAAATGGTCGACATAGTCCCAGTCTCATCCTACCCATCGCACATCTCACTCCTCCCCTCGATCCAACAATGCAACCTGACGAATCTGCCGGAGAACTACTTCCTCAAATACTACCTATACCACGCCCTGACATGGCCACAGCTTTCTTTTGTCGCCGTAGTCCGTGGACCCGGCGGTAAGCTGCCGAAATACCCCAAAGTCGTGGGCTATGTGCTGGCCAAGATGGAAGAAGAGCCCACGGACGGCGTGGCACACGGTCATATTACCAGTCTGTCCGTGATGCGGACACACCGACGTCTAGGGATCGCGGAGAAACTGATGCGCATGAGTCAACGGGCCATGGCCGAGGTCTTCAACGCCAACTATGTCAGTCTGCATGTGCGCGTATCCAATGTCGCCGCGCTGCATTTGTACCGAGACACTCTGGGGTTTGAGGTCGAAAAGGTCGAGAGCAAGTACTATGCCGACGGAGAGGATGCATATGCGATGAAGATGGATTTGAAGGGGCTGCAGATTAAGGATGTCCCGGAAGATGATGACGATGAAGAAAAGGACGAGGGTGATGCTGTGGGGTCGGCTGGGAAGAAAGGAGACACCGCTGATGGCCAGGCGAATGGTGAGGGAGGACCCAAGAAGGAAAAAATGATCAAGGTCAAGATCGGACAGAGGTTAGGTGTTGGTGACTTGGTCGAGAGGACTGAGGGGTCCACTGGTGCACAATATTGAAATCGATCTTGAGTCCCAGAGTCTCTCTCAGGCATGCCATGGTCCGCGGCGACTGTGTTTCTGATTGTCCTGGTCCTGGGTGGTGTCTCTTACTTGGGATGATCATGGGGAATTGACGACGATGTTGCATTGTCCTACCGGACTGGGATAAAACTATCGGACTTTTCGACACTTACCAGCAAGCTCGGGTCCTGGGGAAGAAATCTAGCATCGCGAGACAGCTAGGGATGCTGCTTTTAACCCGGACGGACTTCCTCAATTCCATATGCTGCGTGGACGCTCTAGATTTGTTCTGGAAGACCGCCTGGCCGGAGCTAGCTTATCATTTCCATCAAAGAGTGCATTTCCAATGAACGACAGGATGAGGAGTCGTTCTACTCTCTACGAAATGAAGGGAAGCGAAGAGTCGGAAAGAAGAGTTGTACAATTGTTGAACACCCAGACCACGCTTCAAAAGGACCACACGATTGGGGCTATCCATTACATTTAAAAGGCAATAGAAAGGAGACGATCAAAAGAAAAGAAAAGTCATCACAGCTTAGTAGGTACACGATTTCGATCAAGCACGCCGCTAGCCAGTACATTGAACCCGATTCCCACGGTCTGTCATCCATAGAAACGCCCGTTCTCCCTTTTACAACAAATGAATCCACTTGCGCCTCGGTGCTCCTGCTCCCTTTTTATTACACTCACATTGAAAAGCTACCCCCCATGCAGATTCCTTCCTCCGTCAACTCTCTCCCCAGATATCATGCCAATCAATAGCTCGGATTCTTCTGCGACTTCCCCACCGCAGCCTGATACGAAGGCAGCTCAGCATCAGCATATCCATCCTCGTCGCAGACGTGGGTGTGCGTTTCCGATGGGTGGTACTGATACTGTCGGAGGTGTTCGCGTTCATGGTCATCCTCATATTCGTCATCGTAATCATCGTGGTCGTGCTGGCATTCGCCCTTTTCTTCACGCTCTTCAACATTTTCCCGGTCTCTAACTGGCTCGACCACGTCTTTCTCATTTTTCTTGTCTTTCTGACTGCTCTTATCGGCGCACAACTTGGCCAATCCGACGACACCATCAACGAGGAGTGAGATTGGGCCATACCCTTTACCCCGGCCACGGCCACGGCCACGACCACAAGCGCATCGTCGTCCTCCCCTTCGTTCTGCCATCACCGCCAGAGGTCCGGCTGCTGGTGGTAGTGGTGCTGCGGGTCCTGCTGCAACCACCATACCGCAAGATCTTCGACACCGGCGACGGCCGCAGGGACAGCCGTAGTAATAGACAGGACTGTATGATGCGTTGTTGCCCACTGGCTGCACCCCATTGCTGTTGACGAGTATATCCTTTGAGCGATACTGAGCTCCATCCAGTCCTACTCCTGCTTGGTCAAGCGCAGCTGGTTGGTACAGAACTGGACCACTGGCATAAGCGTAGTTGTTTCGTTGTCTGCGACCCATGGTTGAGAGAGAGATACTCGAGGGTGTTGGGTTAGAGGTAAACTGATGTGATGTGAAGTAATGTGATTTGGTTGCAGGTGTGTGAGCTGATAGGATGTAGTGTTGTATTCTTTCTAGTCTGGTCTGGGTTCCTCTGATAGTGGTTGATATCTGTGCAAATAAGTGCTGCTTAGGCGCTGTGGGTAGATGTGTTGATTATGGAGGGATTTCTGATGAAAGAGAAAGTGAACGATAGACATATATATACACAATCTTGAGCTGAAGTTGTTAGCAGACCCCCCACAGTGCCCCTACCGTGTTTGTATGGTTCTACGCATTGAGTTCCAATCATCGTCACAGTATAGGCTCCTGAGAATGAGGAACGGCTGTGCACGGTGTAACAAAGCACAGCCTCGCCAGTAACTGCAATGGAGGCGGAGTAGCTGACAGCTACTACTTGGCCAGTGGTAATTGTCGTAGTAGTCGGCGGAGGAATAATGTTGAACCGTCCACCTCGTGGAATTCGCCCGATCGGGTTACTTTCGCGAAGACCCTGAGGAACTAATAAGTTTGTGGGCTGGCTCCCCACGTATTCGAAGTCCACACTCGCGCGCCATACTCGATCAGGCGTCAATACTCGAGATGCGACGTTCAAGGTTTGCAGAGCCCGAAAACCACAGCCCTCACCGTCACACTCTTGCCGGCACGTCTGATTCTGGTTATCGCACGGCGCAAATGATGAGCATGGCCTTTGCTGCAGCCAATGAAAGGATATGAGTAACTTGAGATGAACTCAGCTGGTGATGCCGTCCCTTGGTGGATGATAAGAAATTGATAGGAAAATTGGCTCTTGCATCAGTATGTGATGATTCGGGACGGAAAATTCAGACAGTACGATGCTCGCAATGAAGGCTTAGAAAGAACCACCTAGGTACATTGTAGGAACCGTGACAAAGGAACTGAGACGGCTCAGCCTTGCGCAGGCAAGGGGAGCGGCATGACCGATGGCTGACTAATTGTTTAGTCAGTTTCCTCTCACAGCGGAGAGCATACAGTCCTCGCGTGTTGTAGACATCCCCTTGACTTCTTGATAGACATCAGGCACAAGTACCCCATGTGTATCTCGAGGCTATACATGATGTCTGACTGATGGAGCGTTCAAGTTCTCCAGCTTACGGGACCTGGACTGGTTACTTATCACGCCAGTGATCCTGACCTCGAACCCATTTCTCCTGCCGGGTCCCCCAGACGCCTCTCCCTTCTTGATATAGCATGGCTCAGGAGTCCTTGCAGACGCTGCAGCGGACAATTTGGGAAGCGCGTCTGCCGCTGGAGATCAGGCTGGCGTCTTCAGAATGTCGCTCGTTTGACGAAGCAGATCCCTATCTGGTAGGTTTTTGGTTACAATCTAGATCAATCCACACACTCCCACCACCGTGCATCCTTTCCAGTTTTTATATAGGTTGCTAACCAGCGGTGCAACTATTGCTGCTAGATTGCGTATCCGCGCCTGTCATATCTGCCCTTACTGCTTCCAAGGCTACATGCTTTCTTCTCACCATCACTCATTGTCGACCCGGAAACCATTTCTCCTTACTCCGGATACTTCACATATGACGGGGTTCCTCTAAAATGGCATCTGCCATTGGGTCTACTCTATGACATATACATCTTGTCAACGAAAGATGCCGATGCTGGTACCGGGACGGATAACTCTAACACGTCGTTACCGTTCAAACTGACGTTACATTTCAACCCCCCTGACCCCGAAAAGGCCAGCATGATGGCTGCAACGCCGGTCGTTTTGCACGACTCCTTCATCAATTCGGTAAAGGAAGCAGACTTTCTAAGGTCGGGGACCGCGAAGCCCATCATGACTCTGGGAGCACAGGAAAGTAGGGCTCTATGGACATCGACCCAAGACAACGACTTGTCCACCTTTGCCAAAATCCATGCCAGTTTGATGCCGGCGCCGGGGCAGTTGAGAAACATCCCTCTACGGGTTTACCTGCCTTCTCCAGCTGATCAGGATCCGACAAAGGGACAGGTCAAAGTAATACAATCGAGTATTCCTCCCACCCTGGCAATCGCGAGCAGCCAGAGTACTAGCACGGCTGCTGGGTTACGGGCGGCTAGTGGTGGTGGAGCAGGACAGGCTCAGACGTTGGGCACAGCGTTGCACCAATTGATACCTAGTCTTTTCCCGTCTCGACGTACTCCCATCCTTGCCACACCGTTATTGCATGGGGCTCCTATACCAATGAACGCGTCGTTGGAGGACCTGGTGCGATGGGGGTGTTATGCAGACGGCTGGCTGTCGGTAGTAGTGGCGATGCGCGGATAGACATACGAAACAAGGAATACAAATTACAAAAACCTGACACGGAGCTGTTTGTCCGCTCTGTCCGTATGAAGAAGAGTCGCAGAGGCGGCGTAGAGGTTCAAGTTGTGCTGCCAATGATGGCTGGGGTGAGCAAGCTGACTGGCTGCACATTCCGCCCCGCCACGATCGTCCGCCCGCCCCGGAGTTGGACTTCATGTTTCATCATCAGCCTTGTGTAGCCGCCGAGGCCGCCTGTTGTCCACCTTCAAGTACACCCAAATCAGCGAACACTACAATTACTCCCACTCTGACCAGTACGGGTACACAGTGAATCGAGAGATACAAGAGTGGAACTTCAGCCGTACCATAATGCCACCTGCACTCGCCCACTGTTAGGACGTCGCATGCGCTTCACCGCTGATGCCAGTGCGGCAGTGTTAGGCTGACCGCCTTCAGCTCATCAACAGTCACCATGCCACCATTTCCAGGAGAGGAGACGTTAATCACCGTGTAAGTCGGACGACACGGGGGCTGCAACAAGAACACCACACCTACGATCCAGTCTACTGACCACCTATCTTACCCAGATACGCCGACGTCCACGTCTACTTCGACGCACCCACCCGTCGCCCATTCCTCCACCGCTTCGACAAAGCCTCCTACTTCTACATCTACTACAATTCCACCCGACAAACCAGTCGAATCGAAGTCGCCTTGCACCCTGGAACCCCAGACCAAGCCGCATTCAATGGATTCCTAGATAACGTCAAGATCATCAACTCGCACACCTTTCCGACAAAGGTGACGCTTGTTGTCGACGGGTTGGTTTCCTCCCCACCGGGTACAACATCCCCATCCTCTGCACATCCAAAAAGGGATCCGGATGAATGGCGTCTTCCTAGCGCCGATCCAAGAGATCCAGGTTTAAACAAGTATCGGGTCCATACCGTGGACTTTTACTTCTGGGTCCAAGAAGACGCGAAATTGGTCGTTGATATCTTTAAGAGACTGTTGCAGCCTCAGCAACTTGAAGTTGACTCGTCCGAGGAACTTGAACCCGAACCGCAACATGAATCTCAGAAGTTGCAGACGCATTATGAGGACCAGTCAACTCATCATGACATGGTCAGTCCTGTTGTGCAGAACCTGGAACATCTCGCTATTTCCGATCCAGCATATCATAAAGATGACAACCACCGTGACCGTCATGAACAGACCCCAAGTTCTCCGACGAATCTTCGAACAACCGAGGCCGCGGCCCAGCCTCATGTTCAGGCTCAGTCACCGTCTCCAGCTTCAACACTACCTCAAGGACCGACAGCTCATGCGCAAGTCACATCAGGCCCTTCAATCTCCCCCAGTCCTGGTACTAGTACTGCAAACTCACAAAACGTCCAACAACGAGCCCCGTCAGTAACCAAGGCGGCTCAAGCTCAACCACAACCACCATCGACCAACACAAACTTCACTCCGCTAGCATACAACCCAGCCGCACCCGCCGCACCAGAACCCATCGCCCATCGCGAGGACACTCCTCCTCCCGTCGATGGAATGGACGGAACAGGCCTTGCAGCGGCCGCAAAGCACGATGGCATGCCTGGCATTCCTAGTGCTGCTGCTGCTGCTGCTGCCGCCGGTGGCTACCCGCAGACTTACCAAGGCCAGAGTCAAACACATGCGCCTTTTCCACCTCACATCGGCACCCATCCTCAAGGTGCTGCTGCCGGTACTTTCTCACCACCACCACAAGCAAACCCAAACCTCTACAATGTGAACCAATACGGAGCACCATCTCCACAACCGCCCTCATTCGGACCTTCTCATGCATCAGCAGCTGTGAGCCTTCCTCCACAACATACTCCTTCCCTGCTCGCTCCAGCAGCATCTCCACCTCAACCACATGCCACTGCACCATCATTTGGCCCACCTCAAGCAGCAGCAGGCATGACATCTTCTCCGGCAGCGTCTTTTTCTTCTTCTCAACAACAACAACAACATCCCACTTCACCACGGACATCGGTCGCCAGCAGCAGCCACCACCACTACGGACTTCCAAACCAAGACCCCAATGCCCACATTTTCGGTGCCAGTCAACCACACCAATCATCATCACCCGTCCAGACTCCCGGGTCACAGTTTTACAACTCGCTCGACGGTGCTCACAAACCCTTACAACATGTCCAGCCTCAATATCCCGACTATTTGGCTGCCGGCGGACACGCACAACCTGGCCATCATGTTGGTCAGCAGCCGCCACCGCCTCCCCCTGTGGGCGGATACTCGAACTACCATTACTCAGGCCAATCACCGCCACATTCCAATACCAACCCATACGACATCCATCAGCAGGTCTATAGACCGACGGAACAAGAACATCATACTCATCATCACTCCAAGCCGTCAAGGTCTTCGTCGAGCAAACCTTCGCAGGCCGAGAGGATCGAAAAGGGCGTGGGGAAATTGTTCAAGAGGATCGAGAAGAAGATTGGATGATTGGAAATGAAAACAAACCCTCGAAAAAATTGATTGATTGACAAACTATTCAGTTCAAATATTCGATTCATGTTTGAGTTGATGACTCGACCTGGCAAGAAGAACAAATCCGAAATGATTGAACGGATATGATGATCATGATATGACGATGACGACGACTGACTGTGGTGATGATTTGGTGCAAGACCTCTATTAATGAGCGGCCCCTGATGATTTTGTTGTCAGTTATGATGTGATGATAACGACTGATTATTGACCGACCACTCCAACCAGCGCCACTGATGGAAAATGAACACAGTAGGATACATGCGTGGAATGTTTCTTTCATCTTTTTTCTCTTTTTTTCTCCCCTCTTTTTGTGTTTTTCCTCCCTCGCCTTTGCATTTCTCTGACTTTGGATCCACCTATCAATGTCCTGTGTTGCTCCACTCCATGATCGAGCCGATACATCGGAAGTCTTGTATTTTGTCAGCGTCGTGGAGGAGGGAGAGGTTCAACAACATAGTTTCGATGTCGATACTGACATCGACATGGCGGGATACCGATGACTCGCCATTACCAACAAGATCGGCAAAGATAACGTTCCAATCGGTGATTGAGTCCATATACAGTTCCAATTGTTGCACTAACTTTGCCACTGCTTCTGCTTCAGCCTGACCATTGGCATTCGGGGCCAGCTGGCAGTGGGTGACATTGTTGGAATTTCTCAGAAATCTGTCTGCCACAGAGTCTGTGCGAAGCCATGTCAATATCGACTCTCGCTCGCGCGGAAGCCTGTTGAGAGCCTCGTTTGAGAGCCGGATCAAGACGCTACAGAAGGATCAGGTCAGTGAGAACAAGGAGGCGATGTGAAGATGACGAGACTGGTGAGGGTGATATACTTACCGCATCGGCCGCCGCCGCACCCCTATGTTGGCAGTCCGGTTAGCAGATTCGACAGGCATGGTGACTGCGAGTGCCTTTGGAGTTTCTCGGTCACGGTCCCGGGTCCCTGGGGTGTCAGATTGCCAGTGAGTTACTGCGAGGCTTGTCTTTCAGGAAGTAAAGAGCCATTGCTCCCAACCGTCGTCGTCTCTTGTTTATATACCTCCTCACTATGTGCTACGCATCTCAGCAAGTAGTTTGATCAGCACAAAAGGCGTGGTCGTGTCCTGGCATGTTCGTAGGACTACGACCGTTTTCCGAAGGCTAGACGCACTTGTGTAGTCGAAGAGAGCACACCGACGCGACCAGAGGACCAGCAAAGCTCGGATGCACTGCCAGCGTGCCGTGGGTGGGGCAGCGCTACTGCTACATGTTGCTGGCTGTGCGTACTTTCTTCAGCTGAGTGGCGTGCGAGCGAGCCGTAGCAGTCCAGAAAAGGAATGGACGAGGCCAACAGACAGACTGAGAACGAAATGCGATCTGATCTTGGAGTCCGCCCTTTGAGTCTACGGTGAACGGATGGGCAAGACTGCATCTCCGAACCCAACAGGTACTGTATCGTCACGCTGCAAATGGTCCGCTAGTCGAACAGGGCGGCGGCGGACCGCCATCCGGGAGGGTGTGACAATTTTTCAACAGGTCATGGCAGCCACCTGTACCGTATAGACCGAAACCTCATTCTCCGTTCTTCCCTATGGCGCTTCCAGAGCCTTGATATTCTGGGTGACTGGAAGGTACCGTTGTACTTTAACTGTTTAGCACAGTTTCACCGACTGGCATCTGGATCTTTTGGAAGGAAATGCCGAATTGTAGCTCATTCACACGTCCACTTGCTGCGATTGTCAAAAGACCTGTTCGCCTATAGTGACCACCCCCTGCAATTGAACCATCATCATGTGGCTGACAAGGGTGTAAACATCGGATGTGACCCGGAGCTCTTGAATGGAAAGGAGATAGATTGCTTGAGGTGGCTGCACTAAGGCAAAGAGATCTTGCCGGTCGTGCTCCTCTCTGAAACTGGAGGCATGGAACTGGATGTTTGTTGGTCGAAATGGTGACATGAACTTGGTGATATAGAATAGCCGCCCAGAGGTTACCTGGTAGTAGCGGAGTACTAGCAATAAGGATGTTGAGTTCCGATCCGCGGAAGTGACAGAAATGGGTCTCCGGGCAGCTAGCGGCATAAGCTGATATGCAAGGATTGCTGGACGCTCTTTGTGATGATTTGGCCTGACCTTGTCCGTTTCCTGCACCAATCCGTCCCCGTCTTTCGAAAGACAGATATTCCTGTCATCTTTACACATCGGAACGAACATCGAAACGACCTCCTCTTCCCCTAGGTCCATTTGCAACAGCAGACACATCGACGTGGCATTGTTGATGTTGGCAGGGGTGCTGTCATGTGAAAAACATGCTCACACGACGATGAGGGGATAGAGTGCTGTAGTGCCGGGGAGCAGGATTTCAAGAAGGCGCGGTTGCAAGATGCAATGTATCCAATTCACGAGGTTGGGATGCGACGTGGCATGCGGTGCATCGACTCGGCGACGTTGGCTCAGTGCTGCCAGTGCCAGTGTGGCCGCAGAAGTCCAAAGTCCAAAGTCGAGTCGGACCAGACGGAAAGTCCCAGCCCCTGCCTGTTGAGCCGCATCACTCGCTGCACTGCCAGTGGAAGTAGCAACCCTGCCAACGCAGCCGCCGTCACCTCCTCCGATCGTGTCGCCCGTGTCGCTCGTTGCAGCTTGTTCCTGCCCTACTACCTACCTAGGTCCCGACCTAACCCTTGGAATTTCGTGCTGCTGAGACAATCTGCGGCCTCGTCTCACCGCCTCGATGGCAGTGTTCCAATACTCCAAGGCTCGGTGCGCCACAAGCGCTGTCCTTCCATGGCTCGAAGATCCAAGGCTTCACGCTTTCTGCCCGAACCAGAGACTTACTTCACTTCCCCCTGCCTTCCGGCTGGCACACGTATTCTTCTCATCTTTTCACGTCAAGAGGCCCCTGAAGCACTTGCCCTAACCCCCAATTCTCATTCGGCCCGTATCCCGTTGCTCGATACAGATGCATACCTCTTAGCGAAGCCGAACGAGTCCGCTATGATACAAATCCTGGCACTTGGCTGAGATCTCGCACCTGCTACCTTAGGGCCTTCGACCAGAGCAAACCATCGGAGCCAAACCACGTATATCAACAGTGCTTTGAAACAGCTGGTTGACGCTGGACACGTTTGCACCCGGGTTTGGGTATTGATTACCACACATCCAGAATATAAGTATGGGAGAGATATAAACGAACGGCAGCGCTTTCACCAAGTTTTGATACCGAATATATACCTTTTCTCCAATTGACAGCAGTGTAGGCAGTCTGGTTGCACCACAGCTCTAGAGATGACAGCTGTGGTTGGTCAGCATCGAGACATCGACATAAACGCCTGTTCCAACCCGAATTAAGACAGCCCGAAGGGAAAATCTTGCCACACTTCAAGTTCAATCTGTTCATTACTTTGTCTAACGCAGGCGGGACGTCAGTGGGAGTGGCATCAAATCTCAAGTTACAGCACACCTTCTTGTCCTCTAGAATGATCGTTTTTAGCAGACGTAAGACTAATGACTCAGCAGAACATTGACCAAGACTTGAAACCATACAGCGAGGGCACTACCGGCTGGCAAACTCCGAAAGGCTCGGGCAGTTCACCCCGATGAGAAGATTAGGTTTCACTCAACCCGACGAATGACTTGGCGAACGGGCCAGCAACGTGGGCGTTGAGGAAACGCTGTTGGCAAGTTTCAGTTGGGGGAGAAGTTTACTGTCTGCGACGAGATAAATGACTCAACCGATACGAATATAAAAGGTACACAAGGTGCGATTATCGGTAGGCATCGGGAAAAGCGCCCTGGAACTTTCCGGTTCAAAGGTCCAGCTCGATCCACTTCGGAAAATGTTATACTAGTGGTAGTAGGGTTCCTCAGTTGTGGTACGTGTCAGATGGGATTTCCGACTGTGAAAGACCACCACCAAGTGTACATTTCACAGAGTGTAGATCCACACTGGCATGTTGTTGGCTGATGAGCTGACCGTTGATGCACAGAACAAGAAGCTGTGGATCAGCCATTGAGAGACAGGCGTAGGGAGCTGGCCCACCGAGTCGTGAGTGTGAAAATTGTAGTTGTAGTACTGGCCGGTGCTTTGCACATGCGTCTGGAGCACGAAAAGCAAACGATCCAGATCGAGATAGACTGCGACAATTGGTGGTGGCAGCAGTCGAAAAAAAGTAATGCCTCACTGGCCATCAGGTGACGGCGGATGTGGTTAGAGCGCCCTGTGGCTCGATGTTCGGTGAAGATTCGGCAGCCACGGATGCTCCCGAGATAGTGGCTCCAATCCTCCTATTTTGGGTCTAGACTCTACTAAAGCGGAAGTCGGCGCTCATCCATGACGCTGCCAGCGTCGGCGCCCAGAACATCAGGGTCACTGTACAGGGCTTCACCATCATGACCGAATGTTGGTGCATGGACCCCCTTATCTCTCCCAATCTCGTCAGAACCCGGTCCAGGACCTATCTACGTAACATTTCTCCTGGCACTGCCATCTCCCTACTTTATCTTGGTTCCCACCCTTCGGACTTTCCTTGGTGTGCCCTGGTCCCGCTTGATTTTCGGATTGATGATTCCCGTTCCAGATTAGATGACTCCGTGACCGGTGGTCACTGAATCAATATATACCGTACACGTCCGCACGTCCTCCATCGTGAGAAGACAGCAACATCAAGAACAAGATACAGACAAAGATCCAAATACAATTGCCTCACCCGAGATCAACACCATGGCCGCAGCAGTTATGCCCATGTGGACCGGCTTCCCGGCTGGCATTGGGATGGCACCAAAGCCTGATCTATGGATGCCCCCTCCGCCGCCTCCGAGGAAAGTTCTTAAATGCAAAGCGACCAGTCATGATTTCGAAAGAAAACTGTCTCCTCGCTTCATCGTCTCGGACAAGGTACGGTTCGGTCTATAGCCTCGACCCCGTCGAAAGGCTCTCTAACAGTGAATCACAGATTCTCGGTAATGCCGCAGAAGAAGAGTACGATGGTGACTCCATACTGCTTAATATGCCGTATGAGATTCTCCTCACCATCTACGACAGTGTCGACCATGCTCCTTCGCAGATTGCCCTAGCCCTGACTTGCAAGCGAATGGCTGTTGTGGCCCGGGATGTCCATCTGTCGTTGTCGACAGTCTCACCAAAATATGCAGGTTTCCTGCCGAGACGGGTATTCGATGTTCCAGATCTGATGGCCCAACTGAAACCATGGATGCCGTCCAATCTCCGCCTTTGCAACCACTGCCTGACCAACAGACCTCTGCGGGAGGACTACTGGAGCACGGTGGCTGGTTGTGAAATCAGCAACTTCTGGATCCAGAAGACAGGCTGGAATTTCCATGACGGCAACTGGCACAAGCGGGTCCACGATATCTGCCCCGCGTGCCATATCTGGTGCTGTTTGAGTGACTACAACGATTGCGATGGCTGTCGAGCTCTGGGGAGACTGGGCGATATTGATTGGTCCCGTGTCGAGGAGTGCCGACGGCGGAGAATCGAACATGATATCCAACTTGGCAGATTCGCGACTTGATTGAACAGGGGGATGTCACACCTTTACCATCACTCTTACATCGCCGAATTGATCGGCAGAAAGTCCGAACCGGGGTCAACTCTCTCATACGACTTTGGTCTAACCATGCGATGTGACAATTCCAATCGCGCGTGACCAGCATACGTACTTCACGACAAGAGGAACCGGCAAGCAGGATCCTCTCCCTCAAGAGAGGTTCAAGCCAGAGGCAAGGCGACTCGAGGCCGGCCCCAACCGTTTTCCCACCATCGAGCTCGGATGGTTCAGCCGCATGTCCAGCACCAACGTGGTTCAATACCGATCCAGCGCCCGGTTGTGCTGGCGCAGCATCAACGCCCTGGTTGCTGTCGGAACGAATAACCTCTGCAGCAGCTCCAGCACGGATTCGTCCAATTTCAAAGCCGAGATATGGATGACGTGGATAGTCTCTGTCGGAGCCTCTCTCAAGTCTCCTACAGTTCATCCTGGCTGGCCTATCTTACGACATATGAATATGGTCTTTCTACCTGCAAGAGGTCCTACGCGCAGGTTCGCGTGATCACTCCCATTTTGGGGATCTCGGTTGGCTACAGGATGAGGCGTCATTCGTTGGGCGCCTTCTACATTGTATTTCTAGTGCACGGTCACTCCTTGGAGCAGGCTTCATTTTGGCGTTGGCAGGCGGATATACCACTACGACTAATAATGTATAATATTGTTGCAAGGATGAGTCGGCTATAAAGCCCTGAATATCACAGCTGCAAACTCTTGTAAACTTCTCTTGATCCTTCCAGCTTTGTCTGCGCCTCTCGAACTTTGCTGTCATTGCACTTAGGTAGGGCCGCTATAGCACAAGGCTGCAGCCTGACCATAACTTTTCTTATCTTATCAGATCGGCTAGACGTTTCTCCGGGGTTGCCTGTCACCACCGAGCTGCCTCGGCACGCAACGGAAATCCAACTTGAAATCCAGATCGCATGACAAAGGCATCCCACATTTCGCAGGCACTGGCAGCACAGCCTCCCGCCTGTTGAATCTGGGGAATATTCACCCATCGAATAATGCAGTTTTGGAGATCCCACCATCACTCTTGACACCGAAAGACGGTGTCTTATTACGACACACAATCTATACTGTTGGCAACAGATCTAATCCATCTCTCGCCGCAGGGAGTCGTCTCCTCCTCCGTCTCCACGCTCGCCTCACCATACAGTCCAACCCGACTGAGTCGATCGGGCACAAACAACTCAAAATGGCAGACGCCCTCTGCGGTCCTGCGAACCCGCTTCAAAATCTCCAAAAGCACAGCCAAGTCGACCGTACGCTTCAACAAGACCGTCTAGTCGGACACAGACAATCTCCCAGCCAGGTAACTTGTTCACCCCAGACTTTTGACTTTATCGTACACCTACTGACAGAGTTGTTCAACTCCAGGGATTTCGTACATCTGATCCTCGGGCTGGCGCTGTTGACGCCGACTTCCACGCCTTTGAAAATGCCGCTCCTAGCCCGTTTCAATTCCAACATCCTCAGCCACAACAGCAGGGACCAGTGTTCCATCCACAAGGTCCCGTTGCAGGATGGGCCGCCGACTTCAAGAGACTGAGCCTAACGGAACCACAGTCACACTCACAGTCACCCATTCCTATGCCTGCAGGACAGTTTCGAGCAGAAGCTCCGCTGGTCAGATCGACGACGTTGGGAGGATGGCAGAATGAATTTGTGAGGCAGCGATCGTCACCGGTGGCGCAGGGGAAACAAGCGGTACGAGATCCAGGACCGATTTTGGATTCGTTCGGCGGTCAATCCGCTTCTTCCATGATGATGGGGGGTAATTATAATTACTCTCAGCAGTCTATGTATCAGTCACATATGGCGGGAGTGGGGGTATATGGTGGAACTTTATCAGACCAGCAACAACAAGGCTATGCCGTCTCGGGGGCATCCATGACCATGGAGCAACAGCATGCCCAACTATCAGATGTGGACTACGAAGCCGCATTCGCAGAAGTGATCGCGCACGCACAGGAGATGGACCAACAACAACAAACCCAACAGCCTGCCTCCATCGACCAACTGGACTCCCAACTACAACAGCCCGAATCCGAGCAACCCATCAAAATCGGCTCCGACGCCATCCAATACCGCGACCAAAAGGCCGACTCCCAAAAAAGTCCAGAAGAAGACCGCCGCGATGCCGACGAACTAGCACGCACAGCAGGCCTCCTACTCAACAGCGTACAACACGACACGAGCTCGAAGTTTCAAAACTCACAATTTCTCGATCTGATGCGTCGCATTCGGGACAGGGAAGTCGAGGTTCAAAATAATGATCTGCAAACCGTCAGCTCCAGCTCTCAAACACTACACAATACAGCACAGCAACAACAGACCCAACAAACATCTACTACTCAACAGGACCAAGACCTGACCTCTCATTTCCAATTCCCAGACATGGACGCCGTCTACGCCCCCGACGTAGCGGCACACGACACTGACACCCAACATCAGCATCCTCTGCACCGTTCACCATTCACCACTTATGGCTTTGACGACGATAATTACATTGCACCTGCAATGCAGCCGCAACAAAATCAAACGGGTGACGCCCTCCACCCCGGCGGCAAATGGTATCCTGATCAACAGAGTCCTCGTCCAGGGGCAGCACGCGTCGAGGAGTTGTCCATGTCTGGTGCGATACCTAGTGGTGGAGATGGTATTATTGATGACGGAGCTGGTCTTGAGAGAATGGTTTCGGCAAGTGAGTTTGGACATGTTGATGAGACGGCGGGGCTTGCTAGAAGGTTTGTGCCGGGTGATGCGTGGGCGGGTGCGGCGGCGGGGGATGCTGAGATGAGAGCATAGGTAGACATTGTTTATCAATGTTTACGCTCACACCGGTGGAGATATAACATAACGTCGCATCAGCTTTAGATCGGTCGGCAATAATGGCCGAGGGATGAGGGATGCCTGAGGGACTGGGATGAGGATGTCGTGGATGACCGGAGAGTGAGTGAGTGACAATGTCAATGATGAAGAAATACAATACGATACAATATACCAAGCGTTGTCTTCACGTGGATTCCAATTCCGTCATCGAAGCATACCGACGATTCGAATACGAACAAGACTCGAAAGGGAACCTCAGGCGAATGCGAATGGCTGACAGGGTTTGCGACAATAAGTTTGTCGGCGAGGATATAGTATCTTCTGGAGAGACTTCAGAGCATCTAGGATAGATTGACAGAGGGAGATGAAGCGTGTCGTGAAAGGTAACATGGTGATCGAGGGGTCAATGACGGGAACACCACTTGAAACCAGCCACAGGGAAAGCTTTCCACCCATTTCTTCACCTTGAGCCGAGTCCTCGAAGTTCTTGTTCCGCGAGGCAATGAGCAAGCAATACACAAATGTCGGTAATATATACGATACACAGCCCGGGTTGCGTTGACAAGCTACCTTACACCACTGCTTGTACTTGCCATGGCAGAAGGTGGCTGCCGCGGGTCTAGTATCAACAGCAACGAACGTAGATTGGATACAGTGCTATCTTCTGCATCTATGAAATATGCTTCAATTGACAATGGGGGAAGGGGGTTGGGGTGCGGGCTGGGTAGTGATCTTAGAATCAAGGAATATGTTTCCTCCTCGCAGCACAGCGGGCTGTTGACGAAACTACCTGCAAGAAGGACTTGACTTGGTGATAAAAGGTGGCCGAGGACTCTACCTCCCCTTCGAAGCGAAAAACAGTAACTTTGTAGCGTATGTCCGGTGTCCGGGTGTCAGGGTGTCTTGCTGTCCGCGATACATATATTTATATCCATATAGTTGAATATATACCTACTGTGCACGACATGAATCGAGGAACACAAACGTTTCCTTCTCACGTACTACATTAACCCTACTGCCCCTACCCTACCACCCCTTCAGGTTTGGAACTTGATCGTTTTCTCAATGGAAACGAAGAAACGAATTAATCGTGACTGAGTTACTAATGAATTAATGAATCAATGAATCAATGCTTTTATGAGTGCTCACGGGATTATTCTGATCTCAAACAGTAAAAGGACGCAAAAGCGTCATACTCCTGGTAGCATAGGCATAGCAGCCCGTCCTTTCGAGGCATCATCTGCTCATCTGGCTTTCTCATCCCATCGTGCCACTGGCAATGCGCTGGCAGCTGATGAACAAATCTCGAACCTGGAAAGCCTCAAAGACCACCACTGGCCGTAACTTTTTGTTTGCTTACTCCAACAACTTGAAGGCCAACCATTCCTTCACCAGCCTTCCCACTCCCACCATCCGCTCTCCTCGACACCACCCATCTCAACCACTTCTTCAGCTCAGCACCAAAAGACAAAGGGTCCTCGTTCCAGCAGTCGGTGAGGGCGCACATTGAGATTGGCATTAGGATTGGCATTGGGATTGGCATTGGGATTGGCATTGGCATTCCCAGCATTGCTAGTGTTGTCGTTGTTGCTGGCATTGGTCGAAGTGCTAGACTGGCTGCTCGCATTGCTGGCGGTTCCACCAGTTGCCAATCCATCCGTACCAGCATCCATCATGTCGACATCCTCATCCATCTGTGACCCAGTAGGAGCTGTATTTGTAGCCTGAGATTCTTGAGATGATTGTCCCTGACTTGGTTGACCAGAATTGCCAGCGCCGGCGTCAAGATTGTCGTCACTGCTGCTACCGCTGCTGTCGTTGTTCATCGGTGCAGTTGGACCTTGATTCTGCTCCGGCTCCCCAACAGGCATCCCTTCTTCGTCCAATTCCATGGCATCATCTTCTCCAACCATGCCACATCTCCACCAGCGACCCATCATGATCTTGCCACCGGGCAAAACAACTCCTTCGTATGCATAAGCGTAGTCAATGTCGTCCCAGTCCAAATACTCGCCGAGGCGGAACAGCTCTTCGATTTCTTCAATGACTTCGCGATTCATGCGCTCCGGATTCCGCCATGATGGATTCGTGATCAGTTTGTGTCTTAGGTACAACTCGAGCGCACGCTCAATTTCCGCCGGGTCCATGATTGCCGTTGCAGCACCTTGACCTTGTCCCGCTTGATTTGTCGCAACAGTCGCGAATGGGTCACCGTACTCTTCCTCGGCATTCTCCAGGACCTCAATCAGGTATCTCTTTGATGGTTTATACAAAACCATGACGATTCGATTCCAGCCAGGAATCCCATCGTCGTTAGGTTGACTTGGGATAGTATGGATGAGGCCGCGCACACGAAGGGCAAGAAATGGATGGTACTTGTGGAGAGGTACTGTCAACGTTGATCGAGAATTACCAGTGACTTTCTTGTTGGCGCGCGATGAAGAAAGCTGGACAAAAGGGGCCACACCTCGCAAATACAAACAAGAGGCAGATTCGGGGATGGACTTGGCGAAGGCAGGGATCGCCTGGAAAATGGGTGGCCAGTATCCAAACTCCTCATTGTCAGTGGTGGTACACAAGTCGAGTTTCAAAGGATCCGCAGTTTCCCAGTCTTCAGCACAAGTCTGCATTTCCTCCAGAGCTTGTTTCTTCTTGGGCCAGGGATGTAAGCAACTCCAATGGCCGTACCATTTTGTCGCAATATCTGGTAGTCCATCTTGCAATTGCTTGTCCCACGCTTTGGGTGTGATGCCTGCACGTCTGAGGTCTTTTGCCATTTTCGCATATGTGTTTTCTCCAAACACTCCCATCTGGACCTGAGTCAAGCTTGCTTGTCCCCCACTTTCAATCAGGTGCCGATGCCAGAAGTTTCGAATGTGAAGGAGTGCGTGGGTGTCCAATTCGTATTTGACCTTGGGGGCAGTAATGAGTCTCCGGGATTTGAGATTGGGAAACATGTTATTCCTCCTCAATCGACCTGATTGCAAACCAGCCTTCTCCGGGACACGCCGGAACAGAGTACTGAACGATTTGCCCCAGTTATAGACGACGGTTATGTCATAGTTGTCTCTCGAGGAGGGCACAACATGAGCAATCTTCGAGTCAGGAGACAGTATGAGATATGAAAGGACGAGTTGCACGGCGTCGAAGAGGGGATCAGGCTGACCATATCGGCTACCGACTTTGGGGAACAAGAAGCTGGACAAGAAAGTAACCATGTACGGCGAGGTTGCAGGCGATGAAAGAGCCGCAAGATTGCGAGAGGCCAGTGGGGAGGCAAGATGAGCGTGGACCGGAAGAAATGCCTCTGAAGGGAGGAATATGTGAGCATAGAATTCCACAAAAGCATGAGATCACTCACCTATGATCATATCTTTCAATACACACAGTTGGACAAGCAGGCGTTCGTCCTTTGGATTCGTAAACGGCTTGAAATTCTTGAGAACAAGACGCCGCAGTTTATACGCCCAGGCGTATTCCTCAGGGCTGGTCACGTAGGCCTGATCGTAGAGAGAAAGAAACCTCTCTTTCCACACTGCAGATTCCTTTGGAGCAAGGGCGGCGGCGAAACTGCTGCTCGTGCTCATCAGATTGACAAAATCATGGTCATCGGGAAGGTATGCGACTATTTTGTTCAGAACCTGGAGTTGTCAGCATGAGCGACACAAGATACTACTGTGTACGACGAACCTCGTTGGGAAGTTCTTCAAGCTTGCTGGAGCCATAAGGAGTCGAATGGGAGTCTTGACTATGGCCTCTGTCAGTGGCATCGCTGTCAGAGTCCTCGAGGCTGGGCGAAGCAGTCGATCTCCTCTTGAGAAAGGACTCTGAGCTATCCATGCTCTCTGCGTCAGGAGAGAAGACAATTTCGTCCAAATCGTCTGGTGGGTCAGATAGATCAGAATCAAGGTCAGAAAGAGAAGAGAAAGCATCTGAGTGCGACATCGCAGGCTGCGGATTAATCAAGTGCGGCGTCGGAAGCCGTCAGCAACAGCAACAGTGACCGTGGAAGAGCCAGAACACAGTGCGGCTGACCGTCAGAAAGGCTGCTCACGAAATCGCAAAAAGGATGAATTCGATCTCAGAGGCGAGGGGAAACAAGACGCAAGACCAGGGCTGATCTCGAAGTGAAGTGTGGACACTGAGGCTGAGTGACAATCGACATTTGGTCGCACTAATGGTACAACTCCCAACACGCAGCCCGCATACCAGGTACTCCTTCGCTAACACGCTTGCTAGAACCGGAACCCTCCAAAATGCCAAAATGCTTTCGTAATGCCATGCTTGTGACAGCTATAATATCAACCGAATCAGCGCAACCAAACAGGACAGAATCCCGAGTTCATTGAGGACGGGTATTCTGACACTGCTGGCAAGGTTAGTAGCGCTCGCGGAAGATGATGATGATGCTGTTGACGTGGGCGAACCCGGAATACTCGCACCTGATGCTTTTGTTATCAGGTATATCTCCCCAGAGGCATCTGAAGAGAGGTAAATGCGACCCTGGGAATCAAAGGCCATGGCCACCGGGCGGAAACAGTTGTCCGGGCACTTCGAGTTGTCCTCGTTGACGAGAACATCCCGAGCGGCAGTGGTACTTTGCAGCTCATCCGCAGGCTCGCCATTCTTGTCGAAGGGCACAACGGACAATTTGTATCCAACCGGGTCAGTCCGATCCCAGCTACCGTGGAAGGTAATCCACGCTTCCTGTCCACTGTTGTTGAACTTGATATCCAATGGGGCCATGTGGGCCTGGAAAACCAGTCTGGCAGGCACTTGGTCTGAGCAATAGTCGTCCGTTTTGTTCTGGTTGTTGGAATCCGGACTGGCATCAACGGCATACTGACTGCCCACCGACAGATTCCCATTATCCGGCAGGTCGTTGACATTCCAGGCAGAAAAACACCAAGGGTAGCCAAAGTTGCCCCCTTGAGGAGCATATTCCGTGCCATCCAGATAACCGAGGAAATTCAACTCCTCAGCAGGGTTGTCTTCATGGATGTCCACGCCCATCCGTGTGAGTTGGTCCGCAGAATTCTCGACTGACCAGATCCCTCCACTGGTCGGATGCTCTGCTATTCCAACATCGTTCCTCAGCCCCCAGCCGAGCCGAAGGCCATCGGCGGAAAAGTCGTACGCTGTGTTTGTTCGATTGGTCAAGTTGAAAGCCTTGACCTGGGAATGGCCCGAATCCAGACTTGCAGCAGCTATATCTATATTGGAGGTGCTTCCCCTTGTCACCACCAGTAGCCCCGGAGCCTTCTCAGAAAGCAGGAGTGTCCTAGTTGTGTGATCGGTACCGGACATGTTGGTCACCAGATTGGCACGGTCCGAAACGGTCCTGGCTGAGCTGTCATAAGCCCAGGAATAGACATCTTGAGCAGAGGAGGCGTAGAGAGTCTTGCCATCCCTGGACATCTCTATCCCGTGGTTGAGCTGTACTGTGTCAATAGCAATGCAGGATTCATGGGCACAGCAGTACATACATGCAAAGCAGCAGTCACGTCGGATGACTTTCCCACAGATACACAACCGCCATGTTCTTTCAGTGTATGGGCCGAAACAACGCCTCTTCCTGATTCCACCACCAGGAGATTTCCCGCTTGGTCGAGGAGAATGCCACGAGGCTTTGAGAGACCTGTCGCGACCACTTGTACCTGGAAGCCAGACGCGACAGAAGGTCGGATGGCACCAGAAGGGGTTGGACCGCAGCTTGCGGACGACTTGGCGAGGGACAGTGAAGGAAGGATCGCGACAAAGATCGCGACTACAGTAGATCGGAACATGGTTTCTGTCAGCACCAAACTGCAGGGAGGAGGTCCGGTTGGCTCTTCAAGGTGGATGAGCAAGGTGAGGCTCGGAGCTCCTCCTGCGATAGAAGACTGACGCGGAAGGCATGACTGAAGACAAGGTATGGTCCTCAGACTTAAAGCAGAGATACCGAAGCAGGTCCAAAACCAAGCGACCAAGAGACCAAGCAACCAACTTGGACAACAATGGAGCCGTCGCAATCAATGGATCAATGATCTCATCTTCTGGCCTTGGCCTGGTGGAGATGGGAGATGCCAGTGGGAAATGGACATGGAGCTGAGGCGTCGATCTGACCAGGTTGTTTGGACCGTTGAAATGTCCCGTGCCGTCTCATCCTGCCGCCGCTTGATCCGCCGTTGTCTGAAATATCGCCGCTATATCCGGGCCGCCAATCACTACAGCCAGGCCCAACTTCATTCACTTCTACGGTATTTCTACTTAGTCTGGTAATTGTAGAAAGGACAGGGGAAGCCGGCCATTTCCCGGTGAGACTACGACATGGGAGGGGATTAGAAAGAAAGAAATGCATGGTAGTGCGTGTCACGTCAAGGTGGTGCCCAAAGTCATGCTTTACGTTGTGTCATAATTATCAAGTTTTGATTCCTACATACATTTGTAGTTACTTGGACACTGACAGATTGGTATAGCAGCTCAATGGGCTTGGACAACTCCAGCCTCGTTGGCCTGCGCAGTGATCTTCTTCTTGTAGGCATTCACATCGCCAGGGAATTTCTCAACTGTTCCCTTGTCACAGACCCACAGGCTGTTGCACACATTTTGCAGCATGGTCACGTCGTGACTGACCATCAAAACACCTCCCTGGAACTTTTGCAGGGCGTCTGACAGTGCATCCATTGCCTCAATATCCAAATGATTGGACGGTTCATCAAGCACAAGGATATGGGGGTTGGTCAATGACAGACAGGCGAATGCGACCCTGGACTTTTGACCTCCAGACAGTAATTCGAGTTTCTGCAGGCCCGTCATCCCAGTAATGCCAAAAGCTCCGAGATGACGGCGATATTCTTCGTCTGTTTTGCCCGGGTAGTTCTTTTGCATGAAACCAACCGCAGAGGTATTCATGTCAAGTGCATCCACATGGTGTTGAGCAAAGAACCCAATACGAAGGCGGGGATGTTGTGTTATCATTCCAGACGTAGGCTGAAGTTGCCCAATAAGCAGCTTTAACACCGTCGTCTTACCCGCTCCATTAGGTCCGACAATACCAATTCTGGAGTCCAGCTGGACATCCAAGTCAACGTTGCGCAAAAGGGGTTTGTCTTTGATGTAACCGAAGGCCACATTGGACATCTGGATAATCGGGGGTGACAGTTTTTCAACGTCAGGAAATTTGAATTGCACTGTATACTCTGCCTCCGGAGGTTCCAGCACAGGCATTTTTTCCAGCTTCTTGATGCGAGACTGGGCCTCAGATGATTTGGCGGCATTATATCTGAATTTGTCGATGAAGGCTTGAAGGTGAGCTCGTTGGGCCATTTGGTTTTCGTACTCCCGTTTGGCATTCTTCCTCCGTTCTTCCTTGGTGGCGTAGAATGAATCGAAGTTGGCTCCCTTGTAGTAGTCCAGCCTCTCCGAGTGTTGATGTATGATGTCTGTTGCAACCTCGTTGAGGAAAGCGCGATCGTGGGACACGACCAACACAGTGCTGGGATATGTTTGCAAGTAGTTGGCCAAAAAGGTGATTGAGGGTACATCCAACATGTTAGAAGGTTCATCGAGGAGTAGCAGGTCTGGTTCACAAAACAAGGCTCTCGCCAGCGCCAGTCTCATTCTCCAACCGCCAGAGAAGGTCTTGGTGGGATATTGTTGACGCTCTGTCGAGAATCCCAGACCGGCCAAGATACTGGCAGCACGAGATTCAGCCTTGTCCGATTCCATTTCACTGAGTTTGGCTTGAATATCCCCCAACGTCGTATCCAATCCGTCTTTTTCATGGTCGAGGCGAGCTGCATCTTTCGATGTATCTGCCATCTTCGACCTCTCTGCCTCCAACGCCGCAAGTTGTTTGGTGATCTTCTCCTGCTCGGCAAGCAAATGTTTCCGCCAAACATCGGCGTCAAGTACGGCCTGCAAAGCTGGCGTATCGTCCCCCAGGATCTCTTGTTCAACATGGAGAATGGATATGTGTGTTGGAATGGCCACCTCACGCCGACTCAAAGCACGCAGCAGCGTGGATTTACCAATACCGTTCCGACCAACAAGACCATACCGTCGACCGTACGCGAGGGTCAGTGATGCATCGGTGAGAATTCGTTTACCGGAGATTGATATGTCAATGCCGTCAACCTTGATGTCCTTGCTCTTTGATTGAGAATCTGAGCCAAGTTGAAGTGGGTTGACAGCCATGAAGAACTCTTCGTAAGACTGAGTGCTGTCCGGTTGATCCAGCAGCCGCGAAGCTTCGTACTCAACATTTTTCATAATCTTTTTGTCTTGTTTGGCACGGATTTTCCGTTCGGCCTTCTCGAGCTTTTTCTTGTCCACCTTGGATTCCACCTTTCGAGCATTGGCAGCCTCGAGGTCAATAGCACCACTGGTCAATCCTAAGGTGGAGGAAATGTTCCGTTGTGAGCTTACTTGAATGGTCTGTTCAAGCTTTTTGGCAGCAAAGGGCATCTGCTTCCGTTCAGGGTCGACACCATTGGCGTCATTCAATCTAGCGATGAACTTTTCGACCAGATTCCGGATCGAGGCTTCATTCTGTTCAGAGAAGTCTCCCGAGGCGGACACAAGAAGGGAGGTTATGGTTTCCAGAGCTTCTGCCTGTGGAGGCAGGCCAGAAGGATCCTCCTCTGAGAAATACTGCTTGGACGCATGGTTGAGATATCCCACCGAGTATTCCGATAGAACAGGGTCAATATGAGGTATCTGAGCCTGGATTTCAGCCTCCATTGGAACAGGTATCTGAATTCTGGCCTTCAAAGGAGTGGTGTAACACTGGGAGCGGTCTCAGACGAGGAGAGTCAGATAATCGCTTAGAATCCACAACCCACTGCAGAAATTGGATTTGATATGACAGAACCGGATAGAGACTGAGTACAGCTCAAAAGGCGAATAGTAGTCCGCTCGTGATGAAAAGGCCCACGTCCAATCTTGATCTGGAAGAGAGCGTGATGAGGTGGCAAGGAAACTCTCTCTCAAACTGCAATCTCTTGGTCCTGGCAGAAAACACCGCCAGAATTTAACAGAACGATCAGCCGTTGAGCCTCAGCTGCGGCAACAAGAGCAAAGATCTCTGTCAGGCCAGGAGGCAAGCGACGAGGACTAGATGTGATGCCCCTTGGTCGAACCCTGTGAAGGTATAGTTGTCCTGATGACGGGATTCCTTCTGGCGGTTCGTTGGGTCCAGACGGATGTGATATCTGCAGTCACGGACGGACGAATTCTAGGTTTTGTCGAACAGGTTTCCTGCCGATGCGGTTGATGGTTGAACAAACTGTTCCTTCGTCGTACCTATGCAGTCAGAATTTGTACTGCCACTGGCATGCAATCACGAAAACAGCGAAACAACTTCCGGGTCGAGTTAAACTTGAACTTTCGATCCCAGGCGCGAAGTTGCCTCGCGAGTCTTGGCGGCGGACGGCACCATTCCGCTTTGGGGAGGGGCATCTTGCAGGCATTTCAACTCCAACGTTTTCCATCGACACTGCTCGTCACTTCCTTCATCCTCCATGCTGCATCCCTGAGCTTGGAAATTGCTTGTACCCTTACTGTTGAAGTGTTGGCCAGTACTAACACAACCCAAGAAGCGTGCCAAATCAAAACGTTTTCCACGTGTCCCAGTGTGTCCGATAATGGTGCAACTGCCCAAGAGCATGCCTACCATGTTGCCATAAGGGACCGTAACAGGGACCTATATCGTCTGAACCGAGTCAGCTTCCTAGGCCCGACAGCTTTCCTACATAGGGAGCAGCAAAAAAAGGGAATTGACGCATATTCTAGTGCTGTTCGAGTCCTTGCTTCCCCACATGGCAACGGTGTTTACGGACTGGAATGCAAGGGATACAGGGAGCTCCTCGCTATATATGCCTGCCTACATGTACCTCTATGCACGGGCTGGGGCAGCACGGATATGCTCGAGGCCGTGTTTGAAATGACGACGTTTCCTATCAGACTCGGACTACGGCTTTCGCTCTCCGGGACTCCAGAACAGTCGGTGTTGAATGGGGTAGGTTGGGATGTATATATTAGAAATATAACCGTTACCACAAGACTCTGGATCACCAGCTAATCGGCGATCCGGTACAGTGAGGTGCTGATATAACCTGGATGATGCAATATTCCATCCTACTGTCTCGACGAACAGCATCATGTACAAAAAAGGAAGGCATATAAGGACCCTCGCTTTTTCGAACAGTGCCCCTGCTAGCCGGTTCAAGGTTCTGTGCCGCAACGCCGATAGCGTTTCTCCCGCAGAATGAGCGGAATCATTGATCCTGACTGCCGCCGCGTAGACTAGACAAGTCGAGGGGTTCCTTGAGACGGACGCCGCAGACTCTCCGCTTTTCCACTTGCATACACCTCGCAGCATATGCGGTCAGGATCCTGGAGGCTTCACGAGCGAGCATGGTTGATACCATGTTCCGTGCAACATTTGGTCCCTGATGTTGTTCTCGCCCGTTCCTCCACTCAAAACGGCTCAACATTTGCCTTTCAACGTACAAGCGAGCGGTGGAAAACACATGTGGCTCGTGTATTGGAGCTGTCTCGAAGACCACCCCATGCTCAAGAGGCAATAGCGTTGTGACATCTTGGAGCTGTCAGAGTTGAAGTGATTGGGCCTAAGCAGGAACCGCCAGTCTGGCTACTGGCAGGTCGACCGTGGTGCAAGTTAGATCCAACATCCCACACCTACAGTACAAGACATATCTCATCACACAGGGATTGGTGCTCGCGCTTTTGCCTCCTGTGGCGCTTGCACTGCATCATCTAGACAGCAAGACCGTCAATCAGCGGCCACTACCTTCCCCAGGACGCAGCGGGCCTTGTCTGACAAGTGTCACGCCGTCCGAGGCTGATGTGTGTGATATGTACAACACGAACGCCGCCTTGTTGTTTACTTGCCACTCGCCGCCGCGGGATCCAGCCCTCATGTACACAGCAAGTACATATGTGTTCTGACTTGTCAGATCAAGACCAAAGGAAGAGACGTGGACGGCAGGCTGGCCAGCAGAAGGATACATGTGCTCACCGCCGACCGTGGCCGCATCAACAACTTGAACTACCGACCGACCGACCCTGGGCGGCTGACTGACGCTAGAGGCCAGACTAAAACACGCGACGCGAGATCTGAGTTTGGGCGGAGGGAATCAGGTCAATTTGCGTGCCGTCAACCTCTCGTCATCCACGCCTCGGCGTGGATCGTGGCGTTACGACGATCCCCTTTTTTGCCGACCATCCCACCATTGAAAGGCGCTGCACGGCTTCCGCAAACGTCTTCTAAACGATGTGTATCCACTGGTTGGTCCCACGGTCACTCAGCGCCAATCGGCTTACAGTCTATCTCAAGCGAGCTGTTATCATCCCCGCCTGCCTCCACTGCATCGCCTTTTTCGCGTCCGGAAAAAACAAACACGCGACTTGCCGGATGGCGGACGGGTTTGTTGCAAAACTTGATTTACTTGATGCTGTTGTTGGCATGCGGCGTTTTCATGTGGAGATATTGGACGCTGCTAGCGAGGGGCTGAACAGTATCACTGTAAACGGTCGTATGAAGAGAGAGTCGACAGCGTGAGCATCCGTTTCTCTGTTTGTAAGCTTCTTTTCGCCTGGGCTGCTCATCCGGTTTCAACAGCTCTTTACGTACAGTCCGGCTGCCTTTCCAGGTTTACCTCGCGTCTCGTCAGAAACTAACGCAAGCTTGCCAGCTCTGCTGCATACGCCGCCCTCTTTTTCAGCTTCGGTTCGCAAACTTCGGAAGCTCTGCTGTTTGGTGCATACGAAGCAGCTCACCGCAAGCCACCTGCTTCTACTAGCCGACAAATTAATAGTAGTCTACTACATGACCAGCGGGGCACAAGCTGAACGTAACACTGACGAGGCCGATCATCGCTATCTTGCGTTCAGTGTGCGATGATGCGATCCAGTTTGAGTTCTCTGAGCCCAACAGAAGCCCTCCCGAAATGAATTGACTGGGATGACCCTGGTACTGGCAATGCCAGGCTCACCTGCTCTTGAGACAAACCCTTTGGCATTATTGAGCGTGCTTTGCAGCTTGGTGATTCTGTTTGCGAGAACAAGGCGTTCATCGAGATGAATGGTTACAAACAGCGTCGTAACCCGTTGCCTGAAGGCGATTTGCAGCGACTGGGGACCTTTTTCTCTGCATCTTTCAAGTCTCTTGTGATCGGCATGATAGTACATCCGCTGGTGACCATTACCGGGCATCGCTAGGCGCTTATAGTAAAGAAAAGGGCTGTGGGCTAAAAAAAGGCGTTGGCCGTCCATCAACCCTGGTTCACTCATTTCCATGTTGATGTAGAGAGTCGATAAAGGGATGAATATGCCTGGAACGTTGAATCCATTGCTGGCCTTGCACAAGCCATCCGGGGCTGCTGGAGTTGTAACAACGGGTAGCACGACGTCTGGTTGAGCAGACGTCAGGCTCCAAGAGGTACACAGCCTTGAAATAAGGGTGACATTGTAGCCACAATATCTGTACCTGGCCGTAGAATGATTTGTGAGGCGGTGGCCCGCAGTAAATAGGTTCCAGTTCCACCCGAACTTGCAGTTGCCGTTGTAGTTCCAGTTGCTTCTGGACCTGGGCGTCAAGGTCAGATCCCAGCTTCGTGTCCAGATGCTGTCGTCTTTTTCAATAATAAATAATTACGGACATGGACCTGTGCTGGGGTGGAACGCCGGGCGGGGATCCCTAGATGCCAGAGATACATCATGTCCTGCCAGGCAATAAGAATTTGACAGGATGACCCAACCCTCTTCTCGCTGATATGGCTGCCAGCAGGTGCTTAAGCTGGCAGAAGCTAGGCAAACGGAGTCAACTAGTCCTCTTTTTGAGGTTGCTTACCACCGAAGCAGTAGGTGAAGGACCACAGCTGCCGAGTGTGGACAGCTGGACACGGCAAGTGGAGGGTGTCAGGACAATGGGCCTGATCGAGTACGGAAGGGTGAGCGTTTTTTAATCTTCCATACCACCGTGCAGAGTAGGGCCCTGTCTATCATCATGATAACAATCACAATAAAGGTATCGGTTATGCTTCTAGGACAGTAGTATGCTGGCTGCTGGCACAACCATGGTGTAGCACTGGCCGTGGTAGTGGTGACCGCAGCAGTTCAATAATGTACGTAGTAGATCAACAAGAACTAATGGACACCGTCATGCGCTGGCCGCCTGTCGCATTCAAGCGGGCGTGGTGTTGTTGCGAGTGGTTGCCGCTCAGGCCAGTCGCTTGTCGTGCAGAGGCTGCAGCCCCAGGTACCCGGCGATTGCCCTGTTGTTTGCCCACGACGAGTAGCCGCCGCATGTACTGTAAGGCGGTGATGCTGGGTGCTAGTACCTGGGTAGATGCAGCACCTACTGTGGGCGCTGGATGCTCGGTGCTAGGTACCAGGTGTAGCTCTGATTTTACCGGTCGCACTACTGTATGTTATGCACCTCCGCTGCCCGTAGTCCTGCCTTACAGGCATCGATCCACAATCTACAGCTGCGCGCTGTGACCCCATATGGCCCATTCTTGTGCTCATCTCACTGGCATCTCACTGCCCCAAAGCCTAAAGTAAGGTACTGCTAGTACTAAGTAACCCATACAGTAATAATAAGGGACTTGACATGAACCACCACTGGTGCTGCCCGTGCGGTTTAACAACTCCTCCTGCTCTAAAACAACTTCAGGTTCCCACCTCCATCAAGCTGAGATTGCTTCTGCATTTTCACCACTCTTTTGCAGACCTGCTCGTCCTTCTTCACGACTGTTCATTTTGTCCTTTCCCGTGACTTGTGTCTCGTTCTTTTTGTTAGCTGGGAAGTCTCCGTGAATCCGTGAGCTCCACCTGCCTTTTACATCCCGCCTCGCTGCGTCGCGTCTCAGGCCCTTCTCCCGCCCGATCTAGGTGCCGCCGCGTCTGCGTTCGTTCGGAAGAAAACAACCATATCCCTTACACATGCACGTCTTCTAGAACAGCCACACTGCCAAACGAGCATTCTGCCGCCCTCGAGAACCCTTCTGGACCTAATGGTCAACCCGCCATGAGGCCGTCCCATCTCAACAGCAACCAGCGAATCTGGGCTGCGACGCCTCGAGGGCATCTGGCCTACAAAGCATAATGGAGCATAATCAAGAGCATATTGCCACGGTACATAACCCCTCTTGGATTGCAACTCTGTTTGTCCTGTTCACATCGCTAACCTGTCTAGCTATGTGCCGTCGGCACTGTCGCGATTGCAGCCGCAGGCTTGTCTTTGGGGACTTCTGACGGAGATTCGTACCTCATCAAGCCTGGCAAGCGGAAGGCTCCTGGGTCCAATGCTACCGCACGCTCCCCTTTTACTGCTGAGTCTCAACGGGTTCCAACTCCTCCATCCTCTCATTCTGTCAGCACCCCTCCAGCAGTGACCGACAGATCTGAACGTCGACTGTCGTCCTCCATCTTCCGAAGGAAAACAATCCGTACCTCGGCCACTTCCACCACCGCAAGTATCGGCACCGAGTCCCGCGAAAGTTCCATGAGCCGTCATGGCATACCGAGACCGTGGACATCAGACAAGGAAGGCTCCGACATGAGGGAACAGAGACCATCGTCGTCGTGGCTAAGAAGGATATCAAGCATATCCCGAGGGAGCCATGGTAGTCCAGCCTCTTCGTCTTCCAGACTAGATGAGTCTCCGGCTGCTTGGAGGCCTTCGATCAATGAATTGGAACAGCCAAACAAGTTAGTTAAACGCTCCTCGTCGGGCAGGCTTCTTCAGTCCGAGGGCAAGCCTCCAGCATTGTTAAGACGACCAGCCACCAGCCACCAGCGATCTGCTACTCTTTCTGGTTTACCCTACACCAGACCACTCACAACGGAATCTGCCATACCTGCGAGGCCTGCCAGCTACGTTACGCAGCCCCCGCTGTGGAGGCCTTTCTTCGAGTCGGGTTATGCTAGGAAAAGACATTCATCTGGAGGGGCTCGCGAGTCTTTGCCTCGCACTATCTCCATGTCCCTGAGCAGTCCTCCTACCCTTCTCAAAGGTGGCTCGGTGGAGCGTCGAGAAGCCCCAGATCTTGAGGATGATCGGCCTGGACCCGCTGACTTGCCACTGGCGCAAACCAACCGCAGGCATAAGATGCGTCGAACACTGGCGTCTGTCCGAAAGGGTGCTGCTCAACGACACTTTACAGACCCAATCGTCCGAGTCAACAAAGATGAAGCTTATGGGAGTATGGTTCCCCCGACGGCGTTCTCGAGTCTCTCCCCGCTGTCGAACGTGTCTGCTTTTGAGGTTGACCTACCCCCGGGAACCCCTGCTTTCACCTCCAGTCCTCCGGTATATGGTGCTTCTCATCATCGATTTACAGTTCCAAAAAGAATATCTGTTGCTCCTTCGGACCCAACCACAACCAGTTCGGACAACGATCCGAGGGTTTTCACCGATGACGATTCCATGGACTTTCAGAGTGACACTGCGTACGATTCCTTGGCCACTCGAGCCACAGCGAGCAGTCATTCTGGGTTCCGTCCACCTAAAATAGAGACCATTTTTGATGAGGCTTCGGTGGATCAGCAACATACCGAGGATTCGGCCTTGGAAGATATGATGCAACGCACTACTTTGACTGATTTTGGCCCCCTCGCCGTGGATGCGGAGGAAGAAACTGAAAACGCCGGCATTGGCATTGGCATCAGCGGTCTTGCAGGTCATGTCCGCACCCGAGACGTTAGCCCGGATCAGGCATCTACCCCGGTTAGAGAGCCCTTGTTGGAGGGGGACGATGCTGTTTCAACACCCGTGCCGAGAAAAGGACCTCGTAATGACCCCATTTTGGCGTCATCTCCTCCATCGGTGCGCCCGTACCCCCGAAGCCACCATGAAGAACCAGAACTCCCCCGGATGATGGACTTGGATGAAGATGACAATATCGAATGGTCCCCGGATTCTGTTCAGGGCGATCCAGTGTCAACCACGATTCCCCTTCCAAGTCCGGTCCCACTTTCTTTCGACCAGATTGGCGAGGACGATTTTGAGGAACCACGGTCCAACAAAAGATCATCCATCTTCGACTGGGCGGAAAGTCACGCTGGGGGCAGCGATCATTCTAACGGAGTCAGCCCCCGACCAAAGACTGTCCATAGTAAACAAGGCAACAATGCCCACAGGAGCCGGCCGTCTGGACGCAAAAGTAATGCAGCAATGCATCTCCGCAGCCAGAGCGTCCCGGTCAATAGAGACAGCCTGGCAGACAGCGAGTTGGCGACATCGGCAACCAAGTTCGGCACCTGGGCTCTGGGCAGCAAACCTGTGAGTGAGGAATGGAGTGACGATTTTGAATTTGACGACGCAGACGAAGGCGAAGGCATGACTCAGAATGTCATGGAAGAGAAGGCTGCAAAGCACGAGTCTGTCCGGAGTGTCAAGGTGCCTCAATCGATCATAGAGCGACAGCAAAGCGTTCACATACAATTCGGCCAAGTCAGGGAGTTTATGCTATTGGTTGAAGAACTTCGACGACTTCGTGCGAGAGGTGCGGCACTTGGTCTATTGGAGAGCCATTCTAGGCAGTTGTGGGAGGACGCCGGAAGTATCATTGATCTTGCCACGGTAAATGAGGACGAGGAGACAGGACCCCGCCCGTCCTCGCCAGGCTCTTCGGACATTTTTGGTGAAGAAACTCCTCCGCCCAAGCGAGAGGTGGATGAGGATGTTGGAAAGAACAGTGAGGGAGTCCGAGTGAGTAATAATCGACGCTCGATCTCCAGTCCTGCAACTCCTCCTTGTGGCCGGCCGCGAGGCGAGAGCCTACAGACGAAGACCTTCCTACAGACGATACAACAAAGTCGAAATGGTGTAGAATCTTCGCCGGCGGAGAGGTACGTCCATCCGAGGGAGAAGCTGCCATTCGACACGCAAGATCTACGAAACCTTGTCGTGAGGGCGGGAGTTATTACACGGGCATTGAAAGAAATTGTGCGCAAAGCGGAGGGAGTATCATTCAGTCCGGAGGTGCCAACAAACGCGGTTCAAGTTCAGGATCTTGTTTTCCGGCAAATCTTCGATCCGCCAGGCTCCTCACCGAGTCCGGCATTAAGAAAACCTCATTTGCCCAAGAGTAGGAGTGCCAACAGCTACTTGGACGGGGCGTCTACAGGCGGCAGTGATCATGAGGTTCAACAACCGTTGAATTTGACCAAGGTCGTGGAGGCGGTTTAACGATCAAGGCTAGGAGTTTTGGGCCTTTTTCCTTTCTCTCTCACTGGTATGTACAGTACGATGGGACGGCGTTATGAACAAATCAAGACCTTTGGTTCTTGGGAACTTGAAGAGCGTGTTGCATGGGACGGCGTCTTTCCAGTGCACTGCAGCATTTTTCTGGATTGCGGCTCGGAGCACGTTGGAAATACAAAAACGGACGGAGAAGGAGCCAAAAGCCTGGTACTAATACTGGAAACGCGCGGCGGTCAGGGCTGCATCTTGAATGTTTTTATGATTCTTTTCGTCTTGGTGGGTGTTGACTGCTGGAAAGCAATGAGACTCTTTACATTAGAGTCGAGGCCGGAGGGGTTTGTCCATGTTTCGTTCTCTTTCGGTACACACACAACGTCCAAGACATAGCAGACAGACAGATAATCTGGGACACAGCCGCCAGGCGGAACATGTTGCCTGGGCGCAAGCCACGAAATGCAAATACGTTGCATTAGATCAGGTGTTTATTCTCTGACCACTACGACCCATGAAATTGCATCAAGTCGTGCTGGTTGTATTATGATTCATAGGAAGTCGTCCAATTGTAAGAACTGCGGATGGCATTGCAGTTCATCGATACTGACAACAAATATATTGAAGTAGTGCTACTGTCTCAGAATAGGCCTATGCGTGCTTTGATGCGATGAGCAGACCTAGCAACCCAGAACTGGCTGGTTCTAAGTTGCTCGGGGGATGTACAGTACAATATAGGGGAGAGGTACGGCGTGCTGATTCAAGTGGATGTTGTGCTCTACAGTGGTACAAGAATGCCAAAGACGATGTCAGATGTGTCATTTGACCTCTTTGTAATCGTGTCTGCGGGCACAATTTGAATATTTGGGGTGTATTACCAAACTATTTTAGTCCATTCCAATGCTCCCGTCTTTTGGCCGCGGGTCAGTGTCAACCGTCAACGACTGCAGTGCTATCGAGCTCCCCAAAATGTCTTGGCACTAGCAACTCAACTCGACCTCCGACTTCAAGTCACTACAGTCACCGCAGTTTGACCTCAGGCTTGAAACCGTTCCAACACGCCGCACCGCACTGCAGTCGACTGGACCCCGTCGCTGCTCAATCTCAGTTGACAAGTCTGCCCGAGACGGACATTTACAGTCGACTCATCGAGGCAACACTACCTTAATCGTTTACCCGGGCGTTCGGTCAGCGGGAACTTGAACCAGATACCGCGACCACGACGATCGATCGATAAACGGATCGCGCTCTCTCTCCCAGACGTACCTAGCAGGGGCGTCTCGTCTCGTCACCCATCAGATCAAGTAGTCCACCGGGGCAACTCTACTCAATTGCAAGTAACAATGTTCCACCGCATCCCTTCCGCAAGCCGCGGCGTGGCAGCAGCTCTGACCACAACCACACGCATACCCGTCCATGCGGTCCGCGCCCAATCCTCCATTCCGATCCGCAGCACAGCAGTGATGTCGTCGACGCGCAAATCTTTGTTGGCGTCGTCACAAGTTGTTCGTATGGCCAGCACGCATTCCGCGACCGCTGCTGCAGCCAAGCACGACGACCACGGCGATCATGGTGCCCATCACGGACACGAAGACCACTACGATCCCCCTGGTGGTTGGCTTTGGGGCGAGAGACCGGGAGATAAATATGAAAAGGAGGGGTGGGAGCCGTTCGCGTGGTTCTTTGTCGCGGCTTGGGTGGTTGCTGTGGCGGCCTATACTATGAAGGAAGATACTTCGTATGTGGCACCCCTAGTCTTTTTTGCACTTGCAATTGCGCTCTCCCCTCCTGCTTTCGAACATCGCCTACCTGGGTTTCATTTTACTTTGGTTTTCTGAGGTTGAGTGTCTTGAAATGGGAAAGACCTGCCAGTTCGCCAAACCGAAGAGGTGAACGTGCAGCGGTTTGGTGTATTTCGGTTGTCATATTCCTGCTACGTCTGCCTTGCTTTGATTGATTCATCATCAGCACCCTGGTACTTTGTTGTGGGATATTGTTGCTGTTGGTGTTACAGTACTGCTGGTGCCATCTGCTATTTTTTTCTTCTTGTGGCCCAACGCAACTGACCATTTATGATTTGTCTCTGGCTAACATTCTCTTTTCTCTCTAGGATACAAACATGGGCGCTCGAAGAGGCCAGAAGACGACTTGAAAAGGAAGGCTTTTACGACGAGTCGAAATAGAAAGGAAAGAGAAGATGTGGTCCGTTAGTCAGTTACTCGCTGTCAGTCTGTTAGTTTGTCGCCGCATTTTGTTTGGTCCTATCCTAGCCACCTCAACACTTGGAAGTGGATTGGGATCGGACTGGTTGCTTGCAAGATACAAAGAGAGTTGACTGTTAAGTCAATCAATCAATCAATCAAATCAGTTCCTTGATCGATCATCGGTCTTGTTGTAGTTGACGTTGTAGTCGTTTATGCCTAGGTTGGCAGTGAGCTATCTATCTTAATACGTGCCATGGTAGAAGACTCAAGAGAACGAGGGTCCTAACTATGTATACTGCACTGTACAAGAAAGCAAAGCAGACGATGAGGACCGAGGTATGTCTGTCTGTCGGTCTAAAGTCCTCTCTCTTGTTGATCTTTTGTGCTGCCTTTCTCTGGTCTGGTCTCGGGAGTCTGTATTTTCTTATTCTATTGTCTGTCATTGCACGCCAGATACGCTCAGGTACCATCGTCAGCAAGGTACATGTAGACACGCTGTAGCTGCTGTAACCGGTTCTGCTCTCAGCTAGGTCTTTCTTTAATTCATCCTCCTCGATCCTCGACTTTCGATCCCTTGCTTCCTTCATGACTTGCTGGCCAGTAGCCACCACCCCGTTTAGAAAGCATATCTTTCTTTCTTCGCAATGCCATTCAATTCGTCATCCTGTTCTAGGCTCTAGGACGATAACAAAAAGACAGAAACGACCAGATACTAGCTATCAGTCATTAGTCCATCTATCACCGCAGAAAAACATCGACTCCCACTTCATTGCTCCAACCCGGCTCGAGTTCCATTTCCAGCCAGGCCGCACCAACATCAATTTCCACAACACCGCTTTGCTCGTCCGGTGCAATTCCCTCCGTGCTGAGCTTGACCACATGTTCTGGCACGGGTTTTCCCTGAATCAAGACCATCATATCCTCCACCTTGCGGGACTTGGATTGGACGTCTGATAACCAGATTCCCAGTACGCCGAGGGCTTTTAGTTGGATGTGGATTCTTAATCGAGAGCCAGACGCAGACGCCGACTCAGATTGTGCTACTCCCGACTCCGAATCTGATTCGACCATGTTAAAGGTCGATTCGATAATGGCACAGCCGCCGCTGAGTTTGCCGATGAGGCCAAGAACAGAGAGTTCAAGTTCGCCACCAGACTCGGTCTCGGACTCAGACCTCGCAAGCAAAAATCGGCGACAAGGTGTGGCCGTCCAGATGTCATAACCGCGAATTGGCAGGGTACATTGCAACAAACTGTCTGGTCGAACGGGGTCCGAGGGACAGATGGGCGAGGTTATTCGTTTGGAGATATGTGATCGAACGATCCATTTCTTGTTGTTCTTCAAACTGCCGTCTGCAGCTGGAGCTGGCGCATTGACGCCGGGGAACTTTGTAATGGGCAGAATAAAACTAGTGTCTGACTCGGCCAGATTGAACACACCCAGCAATCCACACCCTACGTCTCCTTTGCCATCATACGCGCCAATCTTGAGCACTCCCTTTTCGTCGTATTTGTCATAGACACCCATGGTCTTGCCGACGCAACTTGGCCGGAGAATAACTGTCTGCCCTCGAGGATTCAGAGCGGTCATCTGATGTATCAGATCCACATCGTGCTCGCCAGGAGTGTCGGTAATGTAAATCGGACCACCGGACAAACAGCGTGCGGCAGCATGAAACCCACTGTATGGATGGCTGGACTGAAACATATCCCAGTCCGGCAGGACATTGAGATGCTGTACAAACAATGCATTGTGTGCATTCACGAAAACATGCCAGGCATGAGAGGTCGGCACGTCGGGAAAGAAATCGTCACTGTTTCGTAGCATTATTCGTGGAGTGGTCGTAGGGAGGTAGCTGTGGTAGAGGATTTGGGGAATCATCGACATGCATGAAATGGCCTTGCCTGCAAGGTGCCGGAGATGAGCTTGTGTCCAAGCAGATTGGTAAGTGGTGGTGAACGACCGACGATCGGCTGTATCTGCCAACAGGTCGAGAGCAAATTGAACATCTGTCTTTACAGCCGTCACCCCGGCATTTGACAAGAACCGATAAAAGTCATCGAAAAGCCGGTGGATGTCGTCCGGGTGGACGACGAGCTTGCGACCAGACATGGGGGTCCCCTCGCGGAGATTGACTTCAACGGTCTTGTAATTCTTTGCAATTTGTCCATGCGGTGAGATGCCGCCCCAGTATCCCATCAAGGCATGCCAGACAGCAATGTCCCGAATTGCAGGATGTGTCTCGCGGATTTTGGAGACGGCCGACTTCAATCCCTCGGGAAACCCCAGCGGATTCGCTTCAAACTCCTTCCAGCCCCGGTGAAACTGATTTGTTTCTCCTTGGGTCCCGTCCAGAGATTGCCAGTTATCGTCGATGATCAGGGTGGATATAAAGATTTTGTTCTTGGCAAGTGAGTCAAGTCCTTTCATGATCTTTTCGGCATTAAGGTCTTGGCCCAGCGAATTCCAGGTGCAGTATGCAAGGCTGTCATACCACGATTCTAGCCATTGCGGCGAGGGCTGAGCATCTTCTGTAGTGGTGGCTTCATGCTTTGAGTGGTTGACCAAAACGGTATCGGAATCAATAGACTCGGCTCTGATGCTTTTGGGCAGTTGCTCGAGTTGCTCAATTGCCTGTTGGTATGCCGCCGATTGTCGGACAAGTTTACGAGCCTCGTACATTACGGCTGCATTGGCGATTTCGAATTTCCACGCCGATGCTGCGAGGACCTTGAATTTTTGGTCTCTCTCCGCGTCATTTCTAGCCTGTACCACGATATCACCGTTTGGCGTGGACTGAAACTGTGTGAGGACGTCATCCACCCCGTTGACAGCCAACAACACAACGTGTAGACCGTCCGATCTAAGGAAGGACAGTAGGATAGCAGGTTCTGTTAAATGCAATTGCGTCTCTCCATGCCTCGGAGCCAGCCATGGCTCCCAAATCCTTACGAGACCAAACCACCTGCAAGTCTGAGTGACCCGACCGAGCACAAGCGACTCGAGCTTCGCATTCCCTTCTTGTGGCCTTGGTATGGGTTGGGAGGATTCAATGGTGTAAAGCCGAGCCTCAGGAGCGTCACTGGGTGTTTTGCGGATGATCCAGCCATCCAAGATTTCCACAGGGTATGCTCCGAGAAAGTTTGGGTCGATAGGAGGTTGTAGAATCAATTCGCCATCTCTGATGCCAAAGTTGTGGTAAACCCACATCCATTCGGAGTTTGAATCGATCCGATACCGGACAGTGAAAGGTACTCTTCTGCCTTTGTAAGTCTTGTCCGGGGATACGTACGGACTCTCGAGGTCGCCAGAGAACGTATAGCGATAGTTTGACGTTTGAGTATCGTCGTAGAGAATCGCTGGCGTGCGATCTACAAGTTGTAGGTCGAGTGCTTGCCAGGGAGATTTGGAACCGGAATAGCTGCCATGGTCGTACCATATTGAGACTTCCCATGGTCTCTCAGGTAGGGATTTTGACGACTCGAGAACGACGGTGAAATTAAACTACAATATATTAGAGGGGAAGATACTTGTGCTGGCGAGTTTGCGGGGGTCGTCATTAAGGGGGAGGGGCAGTCTTTGATTCAGCCGCGTGCGACCGCTTCTAAATTCCATAACCTGACACTTTCCAATACGGGGCTGCACTCACCTTTTCTCGTGTTGGCGAAACCACCGTTACCTGCGCCAGTGGAGGCCATGTCGCCAGTTTCGCAAAGAGAGCCATCTGGGCGGGCCGAAAGAACTTTATCTGCGTAGGCTTTGGCAAAGGACCGGAGCATTCAATGAAAGGAGTGGAATGAACGGTGAAAGACATGCGCAAAGAAGAGGCATAGCAGTGGCGACAGGGTCCGGGATCCGAATGTTTGTACTGAGATGCTAGTAGCAATCTTCTTCGTATCTGAGTTTTGAAGAAGCGGAAGGACGCCGGCGGGCGATGAGAAGTCGTTGGAGATGGGCCGGATTGAGTTGGCCGACTCGGCAGCGGGACCAATAACCGGCACACAGATGACAGAATGGCATATGAAAAACGAAAGAGGCGGCGCCACAGAGCTTGATGCGTTCCCACTCTTTCCTCGTATCTTGGACGATTGGTTGGGTGTTCTGCAGTGTCAAGCGGTGGCTGTCGCGCAAGGGGCCGCAGCCTGGAGAAAGCCTAAAGAGCCGATCGCCGCCATGCTGCGAGCATCATCGAACGATTCTTGCTGAGGCCATCGAATCTGGGGGCTTTGGGTGGCTTTGATGGAGTCAGCTGGGACCGCTTTGCTGGGGATGCAAGGGCTTGCTGGCCACTCAACGGCAGGAGAAATGCTCGTAGTGTGTCGTGTGGGTGCTGGCTCGTGCTGGAGTGCTGGAGGAGTGGTGTCCCGAATTCCGAGTCAGGACGTTTCACAATCCTCAGACCACTGTAACTCGACAGAGCATCTCCACCGTGTTCTATTAATACGAAGGTTCCTTGGGTAGTGATGTGAAAGGCTGCAAGAGGCCGAGAGAAGATGTCTATCACCACGAGCTTCAAGCTTTTCGCAGGCAGCGCAACGCAGGCAGAACACAAATCACGTGCAGAAGGTCACTCAATTTTCACATGCAAATAAAAATCATAGGCCCTGGATAGGCATCTACAACGGCCGGATTCGAAATTAACGTCCGTGGGGGTTTTGAAGACGTCTGATTGGTCTTTCTGGTAACTAATTGAACACTAGCCACATTACAATACGGTATAAGTGGCACACCTAGCCCAATAACTATTGGTTGTCTTTGCCCCAAGTAGTGTAAAATACGTGAGATAGGCTGTAAAGGCTGTAAAATAGGCACTGCTAGTCTACTTCTAGTAGTAGCCCCACGGACGTTAATTTCGAATCCGGCCATTGTAGCAGGGCGAAGGCCATTGCTGTAACAAGCACCGCATCTCGATGTGTCAAACCGTTAATGTCTATCACTATCTACTCTGCACAGCGCTTGATGAGGACTGGATATGGGCATCGCCCGGAACCAGGACCCAGCGTTTGGGTAGCAAGCAGTACATGCATGGGGCCGGTAGTAGCACTCACACCGGCTTCATCCAAGCGACGCAAACTAGAGGCGTCGATCACCCATGCCGGTGGCTCTTTAGATCCCATACACGTCTTTCAATTCGTCGTCTTCTGAGCAGGACTCGCTGCCAAGTTCGACGCCGCTATCGACGAATGCAGGCTCCGATCCCTCGGCAGCCGTCGTGCTTCCTTCGCGTGGCAGTTGGTACGCCAAGTATTCCGTCGGTGCGCGTTCCTTCTTGTCCATGACATTTTTCATGTAGCTTTGAACAAGTGGTAACGGTTTGGCGGCTCGCGCGATTGTCTCAATGGTGCGATGGTTAGTTGCTTTGACGGTCATGGTCACTGGTTGATAGTATTCCTGCTCCGCCTTCCATTTCATGCGCATGGCACTGTTTTCGTTTTCTGCAGCTCCCGCACCCTGCCGTGACAGGATCTCAGAACCCTTACGTTCCACGAAGAATGAGCAGATCATCTCCAGGCCGCCATACCGAATTTCGAGGACGGCATGTTCTGGGAAAAGCCACCGGTCCTGACATGGAGACTGGCCGCTGCCGGGTATACTAGTCAACTCCATTACGATGTGCTTGACGATAGGCTCGGGTCGGGGTGGAGGGGGATATCCCATGAATCCACCCATTGGACCGCCAGGTCCAGAAGGGCGTTGCGGAGCCGGAGTGAACGTATGAATCACTCCAGGAAAGGCCGCCGGTCCAGGCGAGGGAGGCGGCTGCCGTTGCTGGCCATGGGTTGGCTTGGGCACTGATGACTGTGCTGCTGTTGGCGCGGGTGACTGTTTCGGAGTCTGCGCAAGTGTCGAAGGTGAAGGTGCAGGTACAGCTTTTCCCTCCTTCGATGCTTCTGAGACTGCAGGCACGAGAGCATTCGACGGGCGTTCAGTATTTGACCGTTCTTGATTCCTTGCGACTCGCTCTGCCTCCTGTTTTCTTACCACTTCATTGAATTCGTCAATGTGAGCCTGAAATTCTTTCAACTGCTCTGCGGACGCTTTTGAAGTGGCTACTATCTTCATCAACTCCTTTAGTTTATGATCTGATGCAGCACGCGCCGCGAGCATTTGGATGACAGGATCAGTGGTGCTCCCTTTCCCTCCGGGCGGCTGGCTCGGCTTCTGACTGGGGCCCGGAGTCGGAGTTGTTGCGGATGATGGCGCATTTGTGGATCCCGCTGCAGGTGGAGGAGGTTGGACCGATGGTGTTGATTGCAATGAGGCGCTCACTGGCCGAGGAGCCTCCTCTTGTTTGACAGAGACGGCTGCAGGAGCAGGTGGACCAATAGGCCCTCCAGGTTGGTCCGTCCGGGCGGGCAATGGTTGAGTTCCGTGGTTCAGCTGAGGCGTCGCAGGCTGAGGGTTTAACTGAGGTGTCGCAGGCTGCGATGGCGTGTTAGGGTAAGATGGGGTTGACGGCAAATGAGGCTTTGGTTGAGTTGAAGGACTTGATGCCTTTATTGGTCCAGCTGGCGAATGGTTGAAAGGCGGAGCTGGAGCAGCAGCATGCGTTCCAGAACGTTGAAAAGCAATGGGAGGAGGAGTAGCCCCGTACGGGGATTGGGGTGGGATCATGTGTTTCGTCGTATGCTGGTTGGCATGCCGTTGATAAGGTTGCGGGCCCGCTGGGTCACGAACAGTGTAGAATACTGCGTCGAAGGTATGTGGCTCAATGGTAATGGTAGCAATCCCCAGCTTCTGCATGGACTTGACGTCTGGGTTGTTTGGTGGCGCTTCAACAACGCCCTTTCTCTTAACGGGCTTCACCCAATACTTTTGAAACACTCCGTCCACTAGCCATTGCATCCGTGACCGATGAAGCGAGGCTGAGAGCACAGCACTTTCCGCGATCGACTGATATTCGTTGAGATTCAAGTCGCGATCCTGTTTGTCTTTCAGAGTAGGAAGCGGTTCATTGCTGTTCAACCGGGTGGGCAGGGTTTCTTCGACAACGGCGGCAGGGGTGGACGACGCGCGAGAACTTGGTGTTTGGATTCTCACAAGACTGGAGCGTTTGGTGTATTTACGCTTTGGACGAGACTCGGCTGGCTGAGTGGGCGTGGATTGTCTTCGGGCGCTCGACGTGGCCGCTGGGGTTTGCACAGGAGAAGATGCTCTTCTTTTGGCCGTGGCATCTCGGCGCTCACGAGGGGGCAACACCCGCTTCTGTGGCGTCGGGCCAGCCATGATTGCACAAGCGATGCCGCATGCGATGTAATGTCCTGTTTAATAGTATGAGAGTTTCTCTGCGGGGGCGATATATATTCAGGTCGGAGGTGCACTGCGGTCGAGTGAGAAAGAGAAGGTTGATCGACTCGGGGTGGATGTCCCGCTACGCGAAATGATTGGTTAATGCTTCTCATATGGCAGCCTCGTGGTGCCACCCCCAACTGAAGGGCATGTATGTGTCTGGATTGTTTACTTATATTCAGAGCTCCTTTCCTCGAGGAAGCTGTAGACTATTATGTCTGAGATTATCTGAATTCACCTTCGTTTCTGCATTGTTAGCACGCTCCGCTCCTTGATTGTACATATTAGAATGACTATGTGAATGCCCTCGCCACAATCTCATATATTATAATGGCTTTCCAAGGCTTCTTCCGCAAGGCCTACTGGACTCTGGCCGCCTGTGGATTGGCGTATGCACTGCTACTCGGTGCTCTGACCCATCCGACCATACAACGAAATGCCACATACGCGCATAACGTCAATCCCACCATCTTCCAGAATTTGAGCAACGTCGAGCAATTTGGCTTCCTACATCATCAGGTCCAGCCGTTCACTGTCACCACCCCGGATAATGTCACGCTTTTTGCGTGGCATATATTACCTCTCCATCTATATCACCAACATGAAGAGGCACTGAAAGCGCAGAGTACCTTTGGGATGCAGCCGTATGCCAGTGCTGTAGATAGTGTTGGCCTTCAGCTGCTCCTCAACGACCCGGACGCCACTGCTGTGGTCAGCTTCCACGGCAATGCCGCGCATATTGCCTCTACTCACCGACCAGTGACGTATCAGCAGATGCTGGCCCTCTCGACGGCACAGAAGCCCGTTCATGTTATCGCTTTTGACTACCGCGGATTCGGCCTGAGCACAGGAAGTCCAACGGAGGAAGGAGTGGTTGGAGACTCGATATCGCTGTTATCTGCATTGACCGGACAACCCGCAAGCCTTGGTGGCGGCAGCGACACAGATGCTAAACGTCTGCATCCTTCTCAGATTATCCTTGTTGGACAGTCGTTGGGGACTTTCGTGGCCACCGCTGCGTACCATGAGTGGGTTCTGAATCTAGGCAGAGCACCCTTCAAGGCGTTGGTATTGTATGCCAGTTTCACTTCCTTGCCCACCTTGCTAGATTCTTACTCAGTTGGAGGGTTTATGCCTCCTGTGCTATCTCCATTGCTGGCGTATCCTCGGCTGCAGCAATGGCTACTTTCCACGATTGTGGATAAATGGGAGACAACCAGAAGACTGGTCGAGTTGGTGCAAGACGCTGCGGTTCAGCTGAAATTGGTCATGATGCACGCTCGTGATGACTGGGAGATCCCCTGGCGAGAAGGAAGAGCAAGCTGGGACCGGGTACTGGAAGTTGCGACGGAAGGGGAGGTCAGTTTCGCTCGTGACCTGGACCTCGAAGAATGGAAGGATATCGATGGAAAGAAACACTTGCGATGGGAGAGAGTGCGACACGGCGGCCACAACAGGGTGGTGACCAGCGAGCATGCCAAATTGGCCATATTACGACTCTTAGAAGAGGACTCATGAAGGCTGCCACCGACTATGGGCGTGGCCAGCAAAAGATTTTTGACGGCTTTTAGTCCGGAGTCGAATCAAATGGTAGATAGTGCAACACGACGATGCGGACCGCGGAGGCGTTCAACGCGTGAGTGTGAGACCTACAAGTATATGGTGTCTGTAGCCAAATGTCACGGCGGCATAGAAAGCATCGAGACATCAGATTGTAGTCTGGTGTTCTTTGAATATGTATTTCTATGAAAGTGGCTGCCGGGCACAGACTGACAGGTGACCACATTATTTATTGCCAACCCCAGATTCAGCCGTAACTGGTCCCCGGGCCTTTTGACAAACGGGTTAATCCTCTGCCATCCACCTCCGCTGCCCAACCGACCTGCACCTCAACTCCGACGATCAAAGCATTGACACTTCGCATTGAGCCCCTGGGTTTCGGTGATCGAATTGAGATATATACAGTGCAATAACAAGAACCACAGAACTCCCTCTCCGTATACTGTGGCTAGTGGAGCGATCGCAGTGCTGTCTCGAATTCCTACATATCACCGCCCACGCAGAGTGACAGTGCCCGGCTGTCAATACCACGTCCTTTCGGATCGATCTGTCGTCCCGAATTCGCCTCCGTGTCATCGCAGCTTTTGGTCGTTGTCCGCTGCCATGATCCAATCGCTGCACTTACGCAGAACGCTGCGATAGCCCTTCGAAACACCTGCGCTCATGGGCAGGTGGCTGGATGTCTACTCCTACACTCTCAGATGGCCAGGATGCCAACGACGAAGGTGCTGACGTCCCGCGGAGCCAGCACCTGTCTCTTCCTACTTTCCAGTCTATCAGCAAAGAGTCAAGAGGGGGCGCTGCTAGAACAGATTCTGTAGCATCAGGTTCTAGCGGCCATAGAGGGGGAAGCCACAATGCAGACCCAGAAAGGACGCCTTTTGCCGGGCGCTCGTCCGTTGCGAGTACAAGACGAAGTGATCAGGATATTCTCGGCAAGGAAAACGTTAAGGACAAACACAATGCGGCACATCGGCGCCATTCCGCGCGCAGTTCCGGTGGCTTCTTACTTGAGCCTGTTGTCAGTCCCAAAAGGCTCTCGATCACATCCCTTACGCCATCCGGAGAGGATACAAGGACGAAGAGAGAAAGCGGAGGGTCGGAACTACTAGTCGCAAAGAGGAAGCAACGTGGTGAGGGACATGCCAGTTCTGCGTACAAGAGTTCGCCTTTGTCTAGCGAGGTGAGGCGCGAGCCAGTGGTGCACAATCATGCCGGTTCAGACGTTGGGTCCGGGACCGACAGGCGCATTTCGCCTTCATCATCTTGGATGAACACTCGCGTGGATGAAAGCGCGGCATCAGTTTCCGACAGCCAAGTCACACTGCGGTCATCAATGGTCAACGTCGGCTATGATCATGATCCTGCACAGATAGTCAACATGGCTCTTAGTTTGAGCGAGGGTAGACGTCGACTGGCTTCTGGGAGAAGATATGTCTCGTCGGAGCACGGTGACCGTCGTGTTATCTCTACAGCCTCGACAACAGGCCCCCGAAGTCCTGTCAAGGGCAGAAGCATTGCTCCATTTCTGGGATCGACTCGACGATCATCACGGACAGGGTCGCCCCAGCAAGAATTTTCTACCGTTTCGTATGCGCCAGGAGAACAAACACAGAAAGCGCCCACCGAACCAGCTTCTGCAGGACCAAGCGGGGACTCAGATGTCGACATGGAATTTGCCGAGCACATCTCACCCGCTACAGCCGCTCGAGTCGAGAAGGCCAAAGAGTACTTCGAGCTTGCTTACGAACACCGTCGCTTGCTACCGCACTTGCCTCCGATTCGCAAACCGGGAACTCGGCCTCGATACCCCGGACCTGAAGCATTCCAAAAGGCATACAATCCTCTGCAATATGTCAGAAACCGGAAGCTTCGCATTTGGGAGAAGACACCGATCGATAGTGAAGCAGAGGGATGGCATGACGTGCCCAAGGTGCGGGCCTGGGTCGATGCTGTGGCCTCAAGTCATCCAGAAACACAACATGATCCGGTTGAGTGTGTCCGCCTGCCTCCCTTCAACCAACATGATGAGAGTCCGGACAAAGACGAATCTAGTCCTTCGCCGAACGACGCAAGGAGCAGCGGTCCGGCGGCTCGAATATCGGATCAATTTCATGCCCGGCCGATACGGCCACGATCAGATTGGGTCACGCATCCAGCCGATTTGCTAGCTGATGCGTACTGGTTAGAGCAAGGCATGAACAAAACCAAAATTCTGGACCGTGACAACAACCTGATTTATCCTCCGAACACACAATTTAAATTTTCAGGTTGGAGGAACACCACGCCTGTCGATGTTCCAATCACATTGCAACAACCTTCACCTCCTCCAGAGCGAGAGAACGATATAGCACAGGATCCACCGCCGTCGGCTCTACCTGAACTGCCAACATTTACTTCCGCCCACCAAGCACACAAGCATTCCCGTCACGGTCGGCGAAGAGGCAAACTCAAGGATGCCTTACAAGTCAAAGACTCAAGCAGTTCCAGAGAGCACTCTCGCTTACGCCGGAGGTTGTTCCAAGACAGCAGCGAGTCTGACTCATCAGAGTCGTCCTCGGCGGCCGAAGGGATCGGTGAACGCGGACGCAAGCGGCTCCGGCGTAAACGACTTGAATCCTCGGGCGCTGAAGGGTTGCAGGACCAAAACAACCACATCCTACCTAATCAATCCCCACAAGCATTCAAACTGTCTCAGGGTGATACAAGTCAAGGGTCGTCCGCGCCGACGTCCAAACGTTCCTCAGTCGACCATACTGCTCTTAACAAGCTTTTCGGGAAGGATGGTCTCATAAAAGCATCGCCCTTGACTCGGTCCCGGGATAGATACGAATCCCCCCAGCGAGGTTCATCAAAGCCAGTGGGACGCTCTAGCCTCGAAAATGAAGCGCTACCTCGTGCATCTACCGATTATGACACGACTACTGCTCCCAACTCACCCAACGGAGTCGAATGGCCAAGTATTGCCATTAATCTTTCACCGCCACCAAGCAGAAACGTCTCGCCCTCTGGAAAAGCCCGATCCAGCGTATTACACCCCTTCCACCGCAAACATCACAAAGATCGAAGTCAAGTCAGTAGCACTGATTTTGCTCATGTTCCGTCGAATAGTACTCCACAATATCAGGGCAGCGATGTGGAAAAGCATTCGGAAAGCGCCAACTCCCACTCGCGGGGAACCAGTCCGATGACCCAGGGACTGAGGCCTTCTTCTACAAACCCATTACAGCCTACACAAACAGACCGACTGACGGTGCAACCATCCAATGAACAGTGGTCGAATGCAACTAGCAAGGTTAGCACCCGTTCTACGGGTGCTAGTGACCATTCAAAGGTCCGAGGGATTTTCAAAGGGGGCAGAATTGCAGAGCTAGTGGGCAACGAAGTATCCCGAGTAGGCGGATTTATCTGGAAACGTGATGCACCATCACCGTATAGACACAAAGGTACGGCGTCGACGACTAGTCTTCGTTCGTACAAGGGCTCCGACTCGGACAGAGACCTTTCTCAAAATGGTGCAGTATCGAAGAGCCCAATGACGAAGATACGATCCCGGTCATCAACCATTTCGAGCACAAAAAGCGAACGTCTTTCGCCAGTCTCAACAACCAAGGCCAGCCCACCAGCTAACGGCCAGCCTCGATACAACAACCCCAACCTTCCGAGCTTCACATCCCCTTTTCAAAAGGACAAGGCAGAACAAGAAAAGAAGCAGGCACTTTTGTCTGCCGAGACAGAAGATCACATCTCCCGCCTTGCTGCCGAGCACCGCTCAGCATCACATTCGCCACGACTCGACCGTATACCTTTACCAAAGATAGACACGGGAGGAGCAAAAACACCCACTGTGCCCGACGGATTGAGCAGAGCAAAGAGTTACGGGTTTGGAGGAGCCCTCGATCTCAGCAGGCCACGCGATGCGTCTGGGTTGCTTAACACAGCTATCAACATGCCGCCACTACGCGCCAGCAGATCTGCGGGAGATCTCGCAACACAAATGGGAAGTAGAGGACCCGAGACGTCAGCACTGGAACCAGGTGGTACCGAGTCGTCTTCCTCTGGCGAAGTCTCATGGCGGGAGATCAGCCGTGCCGAAGCCTTGCTGTACAGTTCTACCGTCAAAGCCAGGGAAATCGGCCGCCGCGCAGAGGACGAGGACATGGAGCTGCCCAAGTACATTGTCGACTGTTTGACGCCCGAAGACCGGGCGGTGCATGCCGAAAGTCCGTTCCGGATCAAGAAGCGCGAACGGCACATCGTGGCCGCCCAGAGCATCATGAAACAGCTGGACAGGCACTCTGTGACCTTTAGCGACAAGTTGAATTGGTTTACCTCCTCGATGGCCCCGGGTCTGCATACTCAGCTGCAAACGCTCGAGGATATGGTGGAAAACACCATGACGCCCCGCGTTCGGCTTGCTGCCGACAAGGCTGGCGAGTTGAGCATGAAACTCACGACCACAAGCACGCTTGCCGTCAAAGAGTTGAACGATTCTATCGATGCCGCTTTCCGCAGGAGACGGAGGGGTCCTATCAGGCTTGTGCGTCGCATCTGGTTCGCCGGTATCGAGTGGACCGTCGTCGGGCTGTTGTGGTTCATCTGGGCTGTCGTGTCGCTGATCCAGTTGGTCCTAGGCGTCACTAGAGGCTTTGTCACCGTGGTCAAATGGCTGCTGTGGATCATATAACTCGGCCAAAAATACTGAACAGGACCGGCAAGACCTGGCAGGCAGGCTGGCTGGTTGCCGGGAGGTATAAACAACAACAGAGAGGGCCTCACCGGCCCCACCCGAAACTTCCGTCGGGAATTATGCTATATGGTACCATGACAAGAAACGAATCTGTTGCCTTGCACTCACTTTCTGCACATGGATGAGTATATCGCCTGGACCGGTACCCTGGAATCCTGATGAACGGCACTTGCTTCCCAAGGGCCGAGCGAGCCAGAAAGCTCTCAAATTCGCCCTATGTGCTTGCCTGCATGCATGCCTGGATAATCAAAAATTGAGCTATGTTGGCCTGGTGGTCTGTCTGCCTGTTCCTTGTTTGTGGCAAGGTACCCTCTGCAGGGCTTGGGCCAGGGGCGAGGACGGCATCTACATTTTGACCTTATGATCTTTTCAACCTTTTTCTACAAATTCCCTATTTCCTTTTCTTTTCACACTATCTTGTCACTACTGTGCTGGCTGGAGCGGTTTTGGTCGGGTTGTCCTTATGGTATGGTACGGTTTTGAGAACACGCACGCACACAGAATGAGTCGAGCAAGCAAGCGAGCACACGAGCGTCATCAACACAGTATCTACTAGTACAGCAATCATATATGTCATTGTCTTCTAGTTTCCTTGATACATTTTATTCCTTCCGTTACTTACAGTGCAGTGTCCCTGTATTACTCGAGAACAAAAAAACCTGAATGCCATACTGGTATACGGGTTGATCCTAGTGGGTGAGCGAAGGCGGCTTTAACCTGAGCTTCGCCTAAATAATTTCGGCTGAGCAGTGTGGCACCTGCCGCCTGTACGCCTGGGGGCCTACAGTATATCTTCCTGCAACATTACATCCCGTCCTCTTTACAGTACAACTCTAAAACTCTTACGCACGATACCATTACCCACAACAGCAGCACTCCCCCTGCAGTGAGACAAAGTTCGTACTTAGATCGTACGCCAGGAACTCGATCGAGTAAAATGGTCGTCCAGGACATTGTCAAACTGCTTTTAGAACAGTGAATACGACTTTTGGGCCAGATCTTCCAGCGGACCTTCAGTATATCTTCAGTCGATTGACTGTTTGACTACCACTAACAAGGAGACGACAAAGTATCAAACTTGTTGCAAGACGCGGTTGCAGCATTCCACTGAAACGCCTAGCCAATGTGGCTGTACTTTGATACTTCGTTTACTGCCTTCAAGGCAGCCATCTACCAGGTAGGCTACAAACATGAAACCCCTATTTAGCCGCCGGCTCCTCCGACGCGTGCTCTATTGCAAGTGAAGAAGTCTCGTCGTCCACAATCTTGCTACCACCGCTCAAAGTTCAGTCAGGATACGGCTACATTACAACCACACAACATGAGCGGGAACTATCGTGCCATTGACCCCAGAGTATACGGGATTCATATCAGATCTACGCCGCGGGCCTCCATCAGTGGGGATACAAACAATAAGGGAACCAGGGACAAAGACAAAGACCCTAGCGACGCCAGCCACAACAGATCATCTGGCACGCAGTCGTCTTCGACCTCTTCTACTGCTCTTGACACTACGTTCAACCCTGCTCAAGGTGTTACACAATTTATCGACGGGACTCGGAATGGGGAGCTGCTGTCCTCGCTGACGACGACGACTACTCCTACTTTATCGTCCACTATTGCCCCTCATTCATCACGACGTGAGCCAGCCACTACAGATCAGCAAGCAAAGCATGAACAGCGACGGCAGCGATTGAAAGAGAGTCACAACCGTCGCAGAAGAGAGAGAATTGCCAAGAAAGTGGGCCATGAAATTGATTCTGATGGAGAACGTGAATATTGGCGAGCGGTTTATGACCGCTCGATGGCCGAATCGGCCCGTCGAGAGGCACTCTCTCCTGAAGCACGAAGACAGGAGGACATTGAGAGCGCAGCCAAGGCCTTCCGAAGCCACATCGAGCCCATATTAGCATTCGACGACGCTGGCGTTGCCCACCTGCAGCATTACCCTCTATTTCTGCTTCAAAGAGCACCCGAGTCGCACAACGGAGCGGCATGCAGGCTCCCTCACTGCTTCGATCGCATCGCCCCGGGCCAATACAGGATCGCTGTGTCTCCGGGAAGTTGGGATCCGAGAGGTCCAGGTAAGTAAGGGATCTTATCTTCCCGACTGAAACACATACCTTCTACCCCTTTTACTCCACTCCGCAGCTCAAAAAGCTCAGGAGATCTTGTTGCGTGGTCGTCGTGGCTTGCCCTCCTGTACTGATACATCTTGGCAGACCACTACCATGTCAAATGCTTCGAACATTTGCTGGACTTATCATCTCTGCACTATGTGGCTCGCTTTGAGCCGGATAGGCGGAAACACATACCCGACCATGGCGCGTGTTGTATCCTAGAGGAATACATGTCCAGATGGAGGCGGAGGCTTCGAACCAAGCAACCATCAGATTCAGCAACTCAGCAGCATGAGACCCGTCTACAACTTCCACATCCCCCCGGCGCAGAACCAGAACACGTTACAGCAGAGAGCTCAAGGACACAAACAGAATCAGCTGCCGCGGCAAATGATGAAAACGAAACCGCAAAAGCAACAGAATCGCAAGTATTAGGACCTCCAGAAGCGCATACCGGCGGGTCGGCAGCGCTGGACCAGATCCCTGTTGCGTCAAACGGAAGCGTAATGCAGACACCATCTGCTGCCTCTCGAACGGGAACGGCCACTCAGTCGTCAAACTTATCAGCCTCAAACCAGACAGTTGACCAGACAGTTGACCAGACAGTTGACCAGACAGTTGACCAGACAGTTGACCAGACAGTTGA